AGTTATTACAAATAATTTGAGAGTTTAACAAGATTATTAGATTTAGGATCAATATGTAAAAATCCGTTGCTTTTTTCTCTACCAGTAAAAATTAGAAGATGACATTTAAAGCAGCAATTAAAAATTATAAGGTACTTAGGAATAAATCTAACAGAAAGTGTTCAGACCTATATGAAAGCATTTATGGAACTTTATTGAAAAGGACCTAAACAAAAGATGTATTTATAGATAGGAGACTCAAGATCAGAAATATGTCATTTCTCCCCAGGTTGTTCTATACATAGGTCCATTGCAGTTGCCATGAAAATCCCAACAGTTTTAGATGAATTTGAAAAGCTGATTCTGAAATTTGAGAGCAAAAAACCCAAGAATAATGAAGACATTCCTGAAGAAAGAGGAGAAGGAAGAGGAGAAAAAAAGATGGAAGTTTTTCCTTACCACGTGGCAAAATTGCTATGAAGCTATCATAATTGAAACACAGTGGTTTTAATGCAGTTCAGACAAATTGACCAGTAGATCCAAAGAGAAAGCCCAGAAACTGATGTACACCAAATAGAAACCAGATATGTGATGAAGGTGACATGGCATATCACAAGGGAAAGGGGAGGCTGTCCACCACTGGTACCAGGTTACAGTACCAGTTATCAGTATGGGAGAAAGTAAAACTGGACTCCTACCTCACACCATACACAAACATCAATTCTGGATGTCAGAAAGATTTAAATGTAAAAGACAAAGCTTTAGGGTTTTTAGAAGAAAACTCTGATCTCAGGGTGAGAGAGGATGTCTTAAGATACAAAAATCATGGCATTCAATTATGTTAGAATTAAGAAATTGTGCAGAAGACAATTTTTATTTTATTTTTGAGACGGAGTCTTGCTCTGTCACCCAGGCTGGAGTGCAGTGGCTCGATCTTGGCTCATTGCAACCTCCACCCCCAGGGTTCAAGTGATTCTCTTGCTTCAGCCTTCCTAGTAGCTGGAACTAGAGGCACATGCCACCATGTCTGGCTAATTTTTGTATTTTTAGTAGAGACGGGGTTTCACCATATTGGTCAGGCTGGTCTTGAACTCCTGACCTTGTGATCCACCCACCTTGGCTTCCGAAAGTGCTGGGATTACAGGCGTGAGCCACTGCACCCGGCCGACAATTTTTTAAAGTGAAAAAATAAGCCATGAACTGGACGGTGATATTTGCCATTCTTAATGACAAAGGTTTAGTATTCAGAATAAGAAATTAACAACAATAATGTCAACTCATTTGAAAAATGGATAAACAACATGAAAAACATATCATTGATAAAGAAACAGGAATGGCAAATATACATGGAGAAAAATGCCCAGCTCCATTACAGTGTAATCATGTTAAAACCATCTTTTACCTCTAGATTGGCAAAAACGAAAATATCTGACAACAGAAAATATCTACAACAGGTTGTAGAGTAATGGGGACAGTCATATGCAGCTGGTGGGATATTATCACAGAGATGACCACTGTAGAAAACAATTTTAAATCACACTGTGAAGTGTACTGTTTGCATACTATACCACCCAATGAATGACATCAGTCCTAGGCTTAAGTCTGGAGCATAACTGTTCACACTGCAGAGTGTGACCCATTAAGTAGTCTGGACATGTTTTTTGTAAAGAAACGGAATAGAAAAGGAAGTATCTCATTTGTAGTAAGTGTTGTTTTGTGATAGTTGTTTCTGGTATACATGAATATGTGTTAGTGCTGCATTGTGATGTAAAATGTATTTCTTATGAGAGTGGTGAGCAAAGAATCAAAAAACTGTGCCCTTAGAATTCTTGCATGTATGCCCTGAGCAGTATACACAGAAAGGTCCACAACTCCATTGTGTGTATTATCATAAAATTGAAGGGAAAAAAAACAGACATTTATTGGCAGGAGACTAGAACAATACATGATCATTTTCCTGCATAGTGGAATATTACACAGCACTGAAAATCAATGCACTATAGCTAAATGTAATAATGTCAGTGAACCTCAGAAGCATAATGTTGAACAGAAAAACAAGTTTCCAAAGACTATAAACATATCATAATTATAAAGTTCAAAAAAGCTACTATACTAAATAACATAATATTTAGATATATGTATGTGTTAAATATATCTTTTAAACAAAGAGCAAAGTGAATGTCCATATGGTGGAATATTATTCGCCATAAAAAGAAACAAAGTACGAATACATGAACCCTGAAAACATTACGCTAACTTGAAAGCCAGACACAGGAGTTCACGTATTTAATTATTTCATTTATGTGAAATGTCCAGAATGGGCAAACCCCTTGAGACAAAAAGTAGGTGAATGTTTTTAGGGTCAAAGGGAAGGGGAGTGAGGAGTGACTGCCAATGGATACAGGTTTCTTCTTGGGGTGGGGAAATGTCTTGGAATCCGAGAGTGGTGACGGATGCACAGCCTTGTGAATGTTCTATGGCAAACTTCCTGGTATGTTAATTGTATTTTTTTAAAGAACACTGACCACTTCAAGATACCTCTTAACATATCTTGAAGTGTGCAATTCAGTATTGTTAATTATGCTGTATAATGTCATATAGCAGATCTCTAGCACTTATTTTGCGTAACTGAAATTTTATATCTGTTGATTGGCAACTTTTTGAAAGATGTGCAAGGGAATGATTAAAAATACATATTTTTGGCGCAGCGCAGTGGCTCATGCCTGTAATCCCAGCACTCTGGGAGGCCGAGGTGGGTGGATCATCTGAGGTCAGGAGTTCAAGCCTGGCCAACCTGGTGAAACCCTGTCTCTACTAAAAATACACAAAATTAGCTGGGTATGGTGGTGTGTGCCTGTAATCCCAACTACTTGGAAGGCAGAGGCAGGAGAATCATTTGAACCTGGGAGGCAGAAGTTGCAGTGAGCTGAGATTGCACCATCGCGTTCTTGCCTGGGCGACAGAGTGAGACTCAGTCGCCACATAAATAAATAAATAAATAAATGTATTTTCAGGATACTGACTACCTCTGGGAGAGAGGCAGAGGGATGAGGTGGAGGGAAATAGAGGTCAGTGACGCAGTCTTTGTAAAGCTCCAGTTCCTAAGCTGCTGGTTTATGGGTGTTTATATTATTACTATGCCTCATTATATATGTGTGTTACATATATTTTTATACATATAAAATGCAGTGTAGCATTCAAAGGAAATACAAATGTGAAATGAGATAGCTTTAAAAGCAAATTGCCTGCCTTCTGATATAGGCTTTCTGAACCAAGGTTTAGGCCTTAACATGCTGTAGATGCAGTCGTTCTGACCCTTGGTGGCCAAGAGGTGAAGTGCAGTGGCGGGTGCTTGCTCAAGGCTCGGGGATAGTAGTGATGGTGCTGAGGGCAATCAAGGTCCTGGACTAGATGGATGTCCAGGGATTCAGGCCACTGCTGGTTTCACCCCGCATGAAGAACAGCACCCAGCCTTGGGCTTTCCCGGTTCAGGTTCCTTTGCTGTCTCCTCCGGCTCTTGACCATGCTCCTTTAAGCCCAGGAGTGAGGTGTGTGTCTAGCCATTGCAATCTATTCCTGGGTGCGATCTCCAGTCCCCGCCTCCTGCCTCCTGCCTCCTGCCTCCTGCCTCCACCAGGACAGCTCACCCAGAGACCAGGACTGATGAGCTCCTGAGCAGAGACCTCCGCATCCTCTGAGGAAGCAGAAGCCAGGGTGCTGAGGCTCAGGGAACCAATCTTCAAACTCCTTTTGTTGAATCTAACCACCTTTCTGGAGGATTCTGAACCAAAGCCTGTGGGAAGAGTTGACTTAGGGACTTTTGAGGTGGGATGTGAGGGGTACCTGAAGGAGGGCTGTCAGTGCATCAGGGCACAGGAAACCGCAAGCCCCCTCCCCACCAAGCTGGCTAGAATAGAGGGACATTGGTTTACTGGCCCCATTTAATCTGATATTAAGAGACATTTCTGGCTGGGCACTGTGGCTCACGCCTGTAATCCCAGCACTTTGGGAGGCCGAGGTGGATGAATCATGAGGTCAGGAGTTCGAGACCAGCCTGTCCAAGACAGCTAAACCCCATCTCTACTAAAAATACAAAAATTAGCCAGGTGCGGTGGGTGCCTGTAATCCCAGCTACTCGGGAAGCTGAGGCAGGACAATCGCTTGAACCCAAGAGGTGGAGGTTGCAGTGAGCCGAGATCGAATCACAGCACTCTAACCTGGGCGACAGAGTGAAACTGTCAAAAAAAAAAAAAAGACATTTCTGATGGGGTATTGGCTGTAGGAACCAGATAAGGAAGTCCCAGACATCTTCATGAACTAGAGATGGCCACAGAACGGTGGCCTGGAGAGAAGGACACAGATGAGATCACCAAAGTCACCCCCAGAGGCAGCGTGATGGAGGAGTTACTATGCTGGGTTAGGATCGAGGCCTACTGCTCACTCTAGTGCATGTCAGCCTCGTTAAGCTTCAGATTCTCAGCTTGGGTTAGTTGTAGTGCTTGCTAATTGGACTAATTCAATTGTGCCAGTGAATTAATACTCACAGAGCATTCACTAAGACTCCAAGAAATGTCAACTGGTGGGGACTCCCTCCTGAAATCCCAGCACTTTGGGAGGCTGAGGTGTGTGGACCGCTTGAGGTCAGGAGTTCGAGACCAGCCTGGCCAACATGATGAAACCCCATTTCTACTAAAAAATACAAAATATTAGCTGGGTGTGGTGGCACACAGCTCTAATGCCAGTTGCTCAGTAGGCTAACGCTGAAGAATTGCTTGAATTTCCTCCACCTGCTTGAACCTGGGGGGTGGAAGTTGCAGTGAGCCGAGATCGTGCGACTGCACTCCAGCCTGGGCAACAGAGCGAGACTCCTCTTCCTCAAAAAAAAAAAAAAAAAAAAAAAAGTGTCAACTGCTTGTGCTTATGTTATCCGAACCCTCACCAAGTCATGGTCAGGCTGATGCTTGGAGCTGATGGATGGAGGCTTCTTAGCCAGAGAATCATTTTCCTCCCTCTGTCCGCAGACACCATGGAGTTGGTGCTGGTCTTCCTCTGCAGCCTGCTGGCCCCCACGGTCCTGGCCAGTGGTAAGTACCCTCCTGGGACCTGGCTGTGACGAGATGACAACCCTGTCAAGCCCTCTCTGCTGGAAGGTCTGGAAGGTTCTGGGCCCCTTGGGACTTTAGGGCTAGGGGACTCTAAGGTTCTTCATGTCTGGTCAGGGGCCCCTCCCTTCAGTCAGCAGAGAAAGTCGTGGAGGCAGCAGCTATTTATTCACAAACCTCAACACAGCCTGTCCCCTCTCCCTGCAAGGGTCCAGCAGGGCGTGGTTTTTAAGCCCCGCAAGCTCACTGGGCCTCTGTGGACTCGTGGCCTGAACCCTGAGAGCCAGACCTCCACATCAGTCTCTAGACCATAATTAGCCAGCGCTGGCCTCATGCAAGTCACACGTCCTTCCTTGGTCTCAATTTCTCCATATGTCACAGGAGGAAAATTGACCCTGTCTTCTGGGAATGATGTAAGAATGAAAAGGAGCAATGAACATGGACGTTGCATGATTCAGAGCCTCGTGCCTTCCCTGCCCTTGGCGCTCAGGGTGCCTCTAACCCCCTAACTGGCAGGCCTGCCCTACCACGCACTTCTGGGCCTCTCTACTTAATGGGTGCTGCTCTTCCGGAACCCCTTGGCAGGGACTGAGGTCTGTAAGGCAGGGTTAGACATTTGGGAACCCCGTTGTGTAGCTTTCTTTCTCTTGACCACCTGTTTGTTTTTGCAGCAGCTGAGAAGGAGAAGGAAATAGACCCTTTTCATTATGGTGAGCAACGGTGACCTGGGGGTCAGGGGTCAGGGGAAGTGCAGCCCTGCCTGGCAGGAGGGATGTGGGGAACAGACACCCTCTCCCTGGCCCCTTCCTCTCTCACCCTTGGTTCCTTTGGCAGACTACCAGACCCTGAGGATTGGGGGACTGGTGTTCGCTGTGGTCCTCTTCTCGGTTGGGATCCTCCTTATCCTAAGTAAGTTTGTTCTTCTGCTCCCTCTGTAAGAGCAATGACTGAGGTGGGGACAGTATGAGAGCCTGGTTGGTCTCTTTCTTGGAGAATAAAGGAGACTGCCTGTCCTCCATGTTATCTTCATGACCCAGTAGAGTGCTGGGCACGTGGTAAGCGCTCAGTAAAACAGTGATGCAGGAACAGAGAAAATGTGACATGACAATGAGCATAGACAGGGATGGGCAGGGCGGCTTCCCAGCGCTGGGTGTAGGGCATGAGTATGGCAGTCATGGAGGAAGGAGGCCTAGTGTGCAAGGGATGTGCCCCCCAAGTTCATTTTTCCCACATAAGCCTGATCTGCACAGATCCCCCTTTACTCACATCATGAAGAGGGCTGGGGGTGTAGGTGTGACCATTCCAGCTGTGGGATGTATTTCCTTTGCCCCAGAAGAGTCTACCCCATCTGAGGGCCACTGCATGCAGCTGTGCACTTCCCAGGTCTAGGCGGTGCCATTTACACAGCCCCATGACCTGCACAGACCCTTGGCCCCGCTGTGGCCGAGCCAGGAGCATGACCTTGGATGGCTTCTTTGCTTTTCAGGTCGCAGGTGCAAGTGCAGTTTCAATCAGAAGCCCCGGTAAGGATGCTGTGGCAGTGGACATTGGGGTGATCTTAGATGGGACTGGAAGGGACCCCTGGCGTGAGACCCCTAAACGGACATTCTCCTGGATTCTTATCTCAGAGGCAGAAGTGTGTGTTGAGGTGTAGGGGTGGAAGTTTGAGGACTGCCAGGTAGACTCTGGGGCAAAGGAGAGGTCAGAACATTGAGGGTCAGCCCATCCTGTCTCTTCTGATACGTGTGGGGGAGAAGTGCACAAGAAAGTTCTGGAAGCTTTTCTGGAGGCCCTTGGGACAGTTTCGCCTGGCAGAAAGGAAACAGGGCTTCCTGCCCTCTCTTGATGACCAGGTCCTCTCTACATGACCTGCAACACGGCCCCTGCTTGTCACCTGTTCATGAGGCTCTTTGAGCTGAACAGACAAGTGGACCTTTCTACTCCCACATAGAGGCCGTGCCCCATTCATTTACTACAATAGCCAAGGGTACCTTGGACCCCAGAAGTCCAAAACCTGTGGCAGGACACACCCAAGCCGCCAAGTGGCCCTAGTTCCCCTCTTCCTGGGACTTGGTAGAAGTCGAGGGCTGGCACTGAGGGTGCTTGTAAGTGCACTCTGAGTCTGACCCTTTAGTTCAGACCTCTCCCTCTGCCCCATGCACCCCATGGAAGAGTGAGCTCCAGCCCTCAGAGCACTGGGAGGAGCCTGGCCCCTAGACGCTGTGCCCCAGCAAGGAGCAGAGCAATGCTCTCTGGGTCTGCCCTGGAGATCTCTGACAGGGCTGTGCATCTCTTTCTCCTGCAGGGCCCCAGGAGATGAGGAAGCCCAGGTGGAGAACCTCATCACTGCAAATGGTAACTGTCTGTGACCACCTGCCCAGATGGAAAAGAGGGAACAGAGAGATCCCTCTGTGGCTCAGGAAGGGACTGTTGCCAGGTGCATGGCCTGCTATAGCCAGCCACACGTGCTCCTGCAGTGCCAGCAGGGGGGTCTCCAGCGCCTCTGGCATTGCCCCCTCACTCCACCAAATAGGCTACTACTAGTGGCACCTGGTATTTACAGAGCACTTGCTTGTGCCAGGCACAGACCCCATATCATTTAATGGGCACGCAGCCCCATGGGGTAAGCACCACTGTCCGCATTTTATAACTGAGGGTCTCAGAGGGGTTACCGGGTTCCTGTAAGCAGCAAGTAGCAGGGCCAGGATTGAACCCAGATCATTCTTACTCAAATCCCCTGCGTGTCACCTCTCTGCTCCCCCAGAGTCAGGCATTGACAAGCTGCTGTTGGGGGTGGCCCATTGGGGTGAGGAGTCTATGCACTATAATCCATTCTGGTTTTCTTTCCAGCAACAGAGCCCCAGAAAGCAGAGAACTGAAGTTCAGGCCTCAGGTGGAAGGTGAGATGCTCACTGCCTGGCTCTGCCCCTGCTGCCATCACCATCTGCATTGGGGCCTGGGCAGGGTTTTCAGGTGGGAAGGATGGGGATAGCTTTTGCAGTGAACACAGCTTTTATTATGGGCCCTGCCGTGAGAAGCCTTCAGGAATCCGAAAGAGGCAATGACAGAGATCAGGACCAGAAACACCTGAGATGCCCCACACGTGCGCATGCAAACACCAGGGCGAGGGGCTTCCACACAGCCCAGTGGTCCAGTTCACAGGGCGTCATCCCAGCTGCCACATGGAGAGAATTAGTTAGTGAAATTCTCCTAATCTCTAGCATAAAGATAATGGCTTTCCGTGGTGATTCAGAAAGTACTTTAGGGCCAATTTGTTTTAAATACCTTATTATGAAACTTTCCAACCCTACCCAAAAATAGAGCAAATAGTACATGATCCCTCCCTCTACATTTAGGGGCACTGATTTTAGTGTCTATTTCCATTGTTCATTGTAGGGACACAGGAGAGTAGTAACTGACAAACACTGTACAGTTTTTAGAGTGCGGCCACACACAGGGACTCACTCAAGTCTGCCAGAAAAAGCGGATGGGACAGGTGGGGCTTTAGCCCATGTATAGATGAAACCAAGGTCAGAGGGACTAGTCCTGTGGAGAGTGACCGCCTGGACTGTGAACTCAGGCCTCTGTGGCTGTGGGTCAGCACCACTGCTCCATCTTGCTTTATGACGCGCCCTGGGATATCCTAAGGGAAAAGGTTTGTCTTTTGTCAGTTCACTTCTGCCTTTTTGGTGTCCCCATACGAATAAGGCATCACAGAAAGGTATATAAGTGTATCTTAGATTGTAAGTTGGAAGATTTCTGGATGGTGGTGCCCGACGCACCAGCTTCTACTGTGGTCGTAACAATACTGCATGCCTGTATAGCATTTAAATTTCTTCCTAAGTGCTTTTGCGTCCTCCTAGCAACCGGCGATGGGCAGAGCAGGGCTCATTATACCCGTCTTCTGGATGGGGCTCTTGAAGGCAGGTGATCACCTGAGTGTGAATGGAGGAAGATCCCGATGTAGGAGGCAGATGCCCTTCCTGGTAGCTTGGTGTTCTGTCTATTTCACCACAGACTGAGAATCTATGGGAAGGCTCAGAGGAGGCAGCCTGGACATGAAATGTCTTCTCATTTGTTTTCAAACTAGTTTTTTCTTAGAAACCTTTTCTCCTAAGGCTCAGGACTGTGAGCATCCATTGGGGAGGTCCAGAGTTTAACAGCTTCCTTTCTGTGTCTGTCAGGCTCCAGCCCCGCTGGGAGAGGCTTCCTCTGCTCCACCCCACACCCCCTCCCTTTGCTTTCCTCTCCTTTCTCTGCCTCTCTTGCTTCACTGGGAACGTGGGGCTCAGAAGGTCTATCCTTCCAGGCAGTTCAGTGGGCAAGTGCTCAAGGAAGGGAGAGAGGCAGATAAGGGTACCAGAGGTGAGCTAAAGTGTTTTTAATTCAAGTTCTCCTCCTCAGCCTCCAGAACCTGAAGGCCACTGCTTGAACCTTTGGATGCAAATGACGCTTAAGAAAACTGGCCACTTCAGCAACAGCCCTTTCCCCAGGAGAAGCCAAGAACTTGTGTGTCCCCGCCTTCCTCTCCCCTCTAACACCATTCCTCCACCTGATAATGCAACTAATACTGGCCTCCCCATGCAGCCTGCGGTCCCGCCCACCTCCTGTGATGTGTCTGTGTGTGAGTTTGTGTGTTTGCTGACTGTGGTCTTCGTGGCTACTCGTTCATGGATGGTATTGTGTTTGTTAGTGAACTGTGGACTCGCTTTCCCAGGTGGGGGCTGAGCCACATGGCTATCTGCTCCTCCCTGCCCCTGTGGCCCTCCATCACCTCCTGCTCCTAGGAGGCTGCTTGTTCCCCAAGACCAGCCCCTCTCCTGATTGAGGGATGCACAGGGTAAGAGCACGGGCAGGAGTCTTCAGCCGTCTTGGGACCTGGGAAGGTTTGCAGCGCTTTTTCATGGACTTCCTTCACGCCTTCAACAAAAACCTCACTTTCTTATCCCACGCTGACCCCGATGTGAAGGTCTTTTAGCAATTGGAGATCCAAAGCAAGTTGCTGGTGAGTCCAGCGTTGACTTCAGGCAAGCTCTGCCTTTCCATGGTTAATTTCTTCCCGGGGGCTTCCACGAGTAGTCCCCGTCTGCCCTGCCCCTTCGCAGAGCGCCCGGGATTCCAGGCCCAGGGCTTCTACTCTGCCCCTGGGGCATGTGTCCCCTGCATATCTTCTCAGCAATAACCCCATGGCCTCTTAGACCCTACCCCTTCCAACCTTCCCTGCTTCTGAGATTTCAGTCTACAGCCCAGCTCATCCAGAGGCAGACTCCAGTCCCTGCAATTGGTCTCTGTCAGGCAATAGCTGAGGGATTTCCATTCCATTGGGGCCAGCACACTGGGATGGGTGGAGGGACAGAAGAAGCCTTTGCTTCTCTGCTCACGTCTTCTTGGACGGGCAGCAGAGGAACTCCTGCCTCCTTCGCTCTGCCTGTTGGTGGTCAGAGCGGTGAGCGAGGTGGGTTAGAGTCTCAGCAGGCTCTGTGCAGCCCCTGGGAATGGTGAGAGGTTGAAGGTCATAATGAGAGTGGGAACTCAACCCAGATCCCACCCCTCCTGTCCTCTGTTCCTGTGGAAACCAGCCAACTGTGCGCTGTGATCCATTGCTGTTCTCTGTGTCGTGATCTATCCTCTGAACAATGACAGAAAAAAGGAATAAAATATCCTTTGTTTCCTAGTGGCTCAGAGGTGCTTTCCTTTCCTTTCTGTGAAAGAGCTTGAGTGTTGGTAGGTCTTGTGGAACCTACAGGGCCAGAGGGAGAAAGGAAGGACTAGAGAGCCAGCCATGTAGGCACAGGGCCACTTCAGTTGCTGTCACTGTCACCTACTCCCCACTTCTCTTCCCGCCCTTTCCTTTTCCTCCTTTACCTTCCTCCCCTCCTTCTCAACCCTTCCTCCCCCACCTCCCCACCATTTCTCTTCCTCCCTCCCTCTCTTCCACCTTCCCGAGGCCACTGGGCTCAGGACACATCCCACAGCAGGATCTGTTCATTGCACACTGTCTTGGAGCACAAAAGGGAGTCACAATGGCTTCTCCCAGTGTGCACTGGCCTGGAATAAAACGTCCTAACATTCCTGTTTGGTTAGTTCTGGGGCCACTACCTAAGGACTTGAAAAGAGAGCCTGGGGTGGTGTCTCCTACCTGTAATTCCAGCACTAGGAGGCTGAAGCAGGAGAATTGCTTGAGGCCAGGAGTTCAAGACCAGCTGGGCAACGTGGTGAAATCTTGGCATGGTGGCGAGCACCTGTGGTTGCAGCTACCAGCAGGCTGAAGCAGGAGAATTGCTTGAGGCCAGGAGTTCAAGACCAGCTGGGCAACATGGTGAAATCTTGGCATGGTGGCGAGCACCTGTGGTTGCAGCTACCAGCAGGCTGAAGCAGGAGAATTGCTTGAGGCCAGGAGTTCAAGACCAGCTGGGCAACATGGTGAAATCTTGGCATGGTGGCGAGCACCTGTGTTGCAGCTACTCAGCAGGCTGAGGCAGGAGGATTGCTTGAGCCCTGGAGTTCCAGGCTACAGTGAACCATGATTACACCACTGTGCTCCAGCCTGGACAACAGAATGAGACCTTGTCTCTAAAGGGAGTGATAGGGTGGGTGATGTGGGTTATGAAATACCCCCTCCTCTGTGGAGCCTTCTTGGGCGTTAGGTAGAATTGAATCCCTTCTTTTTTATTTTTTTTTTTTAAGATGGAGTTTTGCTCTTGTCACCCAGGCTGGATGGAGTGTAGTGATCTTGGCTCACTACAACCTCCACCTTCTGGGTTCAAGCGATTCTTCTGCCTCAGCCTCCCAAGCAGCTGAGATTACAGGTGCCCTCTACCATGCCTGGCTAATTTTATTTTTAGTAGAGACGGGGTTTCATCATGTTGGCCAGGGCAGTCTTAAACTCCTGGCCTCAAGTGATTCACCCACCTCGGCCTCCCTTGGTGTTGGGATTACAGGTGTGATCTCCGCACCCAGCCGAACCCTTCTTTCTTGTGCTCCAGTCACACTTGTTTGCTGTGTTTATATTCACACTTCATACTTGGCATTCAGACTGTGGTGCCCAGGCAGGTAATGCCAATATGTGAATCCTCTGTAGTGACGAGGGGGCATGGGACCTGCAGTCACCTACAGCGTCCTCCCAAAGACGTTCTGATTCAGCTTTCTGAAAAGCACTGTTGGCCGAACAAACACAGATGTGGGCAGATTCTACATGGAGGTTGCCCGTGTGCAGCTTCTGCCTCTGGTGTTATGTGTTTTTATTGACGTAATTCCTGGAGGTCAAGGACAGTGTCTGCTCTACAGAAGCCTGGAACATCTTAGCGTCTCGAAAAAAGCATCAACCCCTGGAACGTCTTCATGTTTTCCATCTTGAAGCCAGCCCTTAAGGAGTGGGACCCTCCGGGCCCATCTCCTTCCAGCCCCACCTTCTAAGACCCCAGTGACCTGGCACCTGAAGCTATAGCAGGAGACAGAAGCCAGTGCTCCGTGGGGTTCAGATGGGGCCTGGGAACCACCACCTTCCCTGCCCAGTGGCCACGTAGGCCCTGAGTCCGCCTGGATTCCGCAAGTTGTTTAGAACCGAAGAACTGCACAGATCCCCTTGCTGGGTGCCTTCTCTACATGTGCTCTTGCTTCTGCCTTCAGTCCCCTAGGCCATTGGAGAGATTCAGGCTTTGGCCAGGCACGGTGACTCATGCCTGTAATCCCAGCACTTTGGGAGGCTGAGGAGGGCGGATCATAAGGTCAAGAGATTGAGACCATCCTGGCCAACATGATGAAACCCCGTCTCTACTAAAAATACAAAAATTAGCTGGGTGTGGTGGTGCACACCTGTAGTCCCAGCTACTCGGGAGACTGAGGCAGGAGAATTGCTTGAATCCAGGAGGCAGAGGTTGCAGTGAGCCAAGATCGCACCACTGCACTCCAGCCTGGTGACAAAGCAAGACGCCATCTCAAAAAAAAAAAAAAAAAAGACTCAGGCCAGAGATCAAGCTCAAGCTGTCAGCCCAGTGATCATGGTGATTAAAACATCTGGTCACAGCTAGACCTGGTAAATGAGCTCATTGTTCGGGAACACTCGTGATGGATGCATCAGGGAATCAGCAGGTCTTGCCGCAATTTCAGAGCAAGGCTGGACTGAGACCCTTAGAGGACCCAGGCATGCAAAGCATTGTGTGTACCGCCCCTCACATACATGCATCATTAAAAACAGAACATTAAACTTCAGCACAGGAATAAGGAAGTCCAATGGGGAGATTCTAACTTTGCTCATAATAATTCTGTTAAGAGTAAGGAGTGACAGTCAGCATGTCTGGCACATCTACACATGGGTATCCTTACTTTGCCAGCCTCTAAGTACCCACTTAGTTTTCCTCCTGGTAATCCAGCTGTATTCTGAGATCAGTCAGAGATTCCCATTTTACGGATTCTTTCTGATGCAGTCGTGACTGGTCCAGGCTACGTAGCTTGGGTGGGAGGGGGGAAAGAGCTACGACTTGACCCCGGGCTGTCTGTCCACAGTGCTTGACAGCACATGGCCTCGCCTCCTTCAGAAGGCAGAGGCTCAGATGAAGCGACAGTGATCAGATGGCTCCCAAGACCGTACCTGGAACATGGCTGTTCCTTCAGGACATAAATTAGCTGGACTGTGCTCCAGGGAGGCTCCTGTGGGAGTCGAATGGTCTGGAAACAAGACACATAAAGAACAATCGAAGAAATGATGGTCAAAATAGTAATAATTAAAAAACAAAAGCAGCTGACATTTATGGAGCGCTTAATATGTGCTTGGCTGAGGACTTCACGCAGATCAACTGGATCAGAGCTCTTAGGGCTACACACCTCCACGAGGAGGACCAGTGTGTCTGCTCAGCCTCCAGGCAGGTGGCATTGGTTTGTAGCTGTGATTTGGTTGAATGAGGCAAACGTAGCTTGACTGCATAGGAAAACTGACATGCTATGTCATTTCCCAGAAGGTAATCCCAAGTCCCCTGGTTCGCAGTGACCTCAGGTGTCCTGCATGTTTTGCTTCCCAATGACTCCCCCTGCTCTCCACTCCATTCCAAAGATCTTCATGTCTGTTTGCATGGAGGTACTTTGTGTTACTTCTCCCCATGGGGTAAGAATAGGTCAGTCTGCCTTCTGGGTCCCCAGGTGCTGTGGCCCGCCTACCTCTCTGGTGTTTTTTATTTTTTTTTTCAAGATGTAGATTAGAACTTGCCAAATTGTTCTTGGAAGAGAGTCAGAGGCAGAGTGCAAGCTGCAGGGAGCGATGTGGGGGGAGTGCCAGGCGAAGCACACCCCAAGGTCACCAGCCTGCTGGCCCCTTCCTCTGGGAGGAGGGCCTTACCTTGCCTGCAGTCATGGGTTTGGTGGGGTAGCTGGGAAAAGCAGGGGAGGGAGAGTGCTCCAGCTCTGTCTGGTTCACCCCACCTTGTCCCTGGCTGCTCTGCCTCACCCTGGGCCCAGTGAGAGAGAGGTCAGGTGTGCTTGCCTGAGCCAGGGGAGGAGCTTTGGAAAAACCTGTCTCCAGGCTACAGAGAGAAGGAATGGCCACTTCTCTCTATTAGTGTGATTCATTGCTGTCACAGCCGAGCTCCAGGAGGGCAGACTCAGCCGGCTCAAGCCAATCAGCTGTTGATTTGATGGGGCCAGCCCAGCCCCGGGCCTGGTTGCACAACAGTGGGGCTCCTGCCAAGGCAATGATGGCAGAGCAGGTGATGCTGTGGTCACATGTCCTGAAGGACCTGGGTGGCAGGGACTGCTGGGGGTGGGCCCCCCACACCACCCAGAAGAGGGGGTTCCTGCCTCTGAGCCAGGCTTGGAGGCAGCCTGGTGGAGCCTTAGGTCCAGAACATCCCCGAGGTCCCCCTCTGCTCTCTCACTGTGTGAGCTTGGGCAGACCCCAGCCCCTCTGTCAGTTTCCATTTCTGAATAATCGAGTCCTTTCTCACTCTGGGGTCAGCTGGGCCTTCTGCTGGCTGTGTAACCCTGGAAAAGCCACCTAAGCCTGTTTCATCACCGATCAAATAAATGCATCCAAATCTTTTCTGTTATCTCACAGTGTCAAAGTGATACAATGGACATGAAAGCACCACGAAAATTCTCCATGTAGCTATTATGCTACTCATGTTGGCATTACCGTTTCCTTATCTCCTCATTCTCTGGTGGCCAGGTTCCCCCTGTCTCTGTTAGACCTGGGTTCACGTTCTGACTGGTTCGCAGTGTCCTCTGTAAGATGGGCATCGCACAGCCTGCCTAAGTTGTTGGGAGGCTCTAAGCAGCTCTTTGGAACCACCGAGACCACGGAATAGGTGGAATTGCTGCCAAGTGTGGAGCGTGGGCACCAGGCTCAGTGCAGATACATACATTTAACAGCTTACCCGACCTGAGGCCTCAGGAAGGCCAGGAACTTGGCAATCTGGGCTATAAATGAAGAGAATGGTCACATGGCCACATGCCAGCCATTCAGGCCATGTCAGTGGCATCCAGAAGGTCGTGGAGGGAAGGAAAGAGTAGCCAGGGGTGGGCCTGCTCCATGAGGTCTTCCTGGAGGCGGCGAGCCTCAAGCTGTTTTCAGAGGTCGGGGGGGAGTTTGGTTACTGGGAGGAGAAAACCACAGCTGGAGAGAAACGGCCTCTGTGGTAGTTCAAGGATGTGAGTTCTAAGAACAGTCAAGAATGCATTTCTCTCCAGGGTATTCACTGTGGGAGAGCTGGTCAAATGGGTTTGCCCTTGTCACCAGCTGGTGGCCTTGACTCTTAGAGTACATTGCCCCTTGGCAGTTCTCAGAACCTCGGCGCACCATGGCTCAGGCCATCTTGAAGCCAACACTTAAGGAATGGACCCTCTGGGGCCCACCTCCTTCCAGCCCTGCCTTATAAGACCCCAGTGACCTGGCACCTGCAACCATAGCAGGAGACGGGAGCCAGAGCTCCTCAGGGTCAGGAGAGATGGAGCCTGGGAACTGCCAGTTTCCCTGCCCAGTGGCCATATGGGTCATGCAGTTGAGGACTGCCTTGGGCCAGGGGTCATGGCTTTCTAGGTGCTTCTGGCTTCTGCCTCATTTGAGCCCCTTTCCACCTGCAAGCTAACACCAGGAGGAACTGACTTGGGAACCTGGAGTTCAAGGCTGTGAACTCCCACAAAGGCCAGGGCCGGCAGAACTGGAGAGCTCCATTTTGGGAAGATGGCGGTGAGAGCCTCTGCCTCTGATCACCAGCGAGACAGAAGTGATTCCAGTGGGATTCCAGCCTATTTCCTCCCTGCCCCACCAACCCAGCAATGACCACCCTAAATGACTGCCCTGAGACTCAGGAGTCAGGAGAAAAAAGGGAGGCCTGCTTGGAGACGGGAGACGGAGGCCTCGCCACTGAGGGCATCAGCTGTGACAGTGCTGAAGCATCCAGGAGTGGGCGCTGCCTCTCCCTCCCTCCCTCCCTCCCAGCATCTCCCAGAGCTCTGGGCCTTGAAGAGAAGAGGAGAGCACAGCTGGATGCTTCTTTCTCTCTAGCCTGGAACCATCAGACAAAGGAGGTTTATTGGGTTTGTGTGGAGAAGGAGGCTGGAGATGTAGGGTGAGTGGTGGCCAGCAGGGATCATGCCGGGGCACAGAGGGTGCTCTCAGGAGCCTGCTTTAGAGATCACCTCAGCTGGGGACTGAGCCAAGGGAAGGGATTGCTGAGAGTGTTCTTGTCTCCTGGGGTGGGCGGGGGGCAGTTCAGAGTAAGGAAAATGCAGCCATCATTTTTTAGGACCTTCTCTGGCCAAATGCTTGACCCCTTGTCTCTGTTCCCACAACAATCCTGCAAGGTAGGTGTTATTACCCCATTTTACAGATGCAGGGAGACCCAGAGGGGTGCCCTTCCCCAGGCTCAGGCAGTTCTCAGCAAAGGCTCAGGATGAAAAGGGATTTACGCATGGGTGTGTCTGGTCCTCAGGGTGCCCTGCATGGAGACTTCTAGGAGGAGAGACCTTTCTGAGCTGACCTGCTCTCAGGATCATGGGCCACAGAGGGAAGGGCTGGGACCTCCCTGCAGGAGAGCAGGTGTCTCAGAAAGGGGCTCCCTGCCCCCCAGTGCCAGCTAGGACCCGTGACCTGAGCTGGCAGGGGGAGGGCAGGAAAGAAGTCTGAGGAAAGACTTAGGCTTGATTGAAGCGAGACGAGAGGACCGCCTTGACTTAACACATGCCTGCGCTTCCCCCAAGAACAAACAGGACAATTTCTGAAAAATGCTGCAGGGCTGGAGAAGGAAGGGGAGGGGAGGGAAGGGGAGGGGAGATGGGGAGGGATGGGATGCCAGAGGAGTGAGAGAGAACCTCCTTTTCCTGAGAGGACCTCTGGGGAGCTGTCAACAAGGTGGGATTGCTGGCTACCTGCTGCCTCTGTGAGGGCAAACCGGGTCTTGTGACCCCTCACAGAGCAGATGACAGCAGGGAATGGGACTGCCTGAGGCAAGTCCTGGGTCTGCCTGCAGCATGGGAGAAATGATTTCACCTTTCTGGGTCTGATTCATTCATTTAATAAAACTGGGTTGCACGATGAGCTGTTTCAGGCACTGGGGAATGAACAAACAAATCCTGGCTCTCCTTGTGCTCAAATTTTAGTTGGGAGAGGGACAAGCAAGATCAAGGAAATACACACTTTAGATCAGAATGAGCGCAGCGGAGGAAAAGCCCGGCTGAGGCGGTGGGGTGAACATTTTCTACCTGGATGCCCGGAATCGGGGCTTTGAAGAAAGCCCAGCAGACAGCGCGAGCTGAGCCGGAAGCCCTGCGGGGGCAGAGCATTGAGGAGGCAGGAACAGCCCGGGTCGAGGTCTTAGAGGGTGAGGGGTGTCCAGAAGACCAGCATGACTGGAGCAGAGAGCAGGGTGGGGAGGTTGGGGACCAGTTCAGAAGTGCCTGGAGCCAGATTAAGAGGGGCTTCTTTCTGGGACTCAGAAAAGATTTTGGGTATCCTCTGAACCCTCTCTCTGAGGATTTTGAGCAGGAGAGGGAGCCACTTGTAAAGGGAGGGGTTTGGATAGGATGGCCTCGACCTTTCTAGTCGGGCCATCAGTCACACAGGGCTCTGGATGTCTGGTATGGAGACGCCTTCCTTCCCAGCACTGGGGGTGGGTAGGGAACCGAGTGTGTATACCGGGTTGGGGATTTCCACTTTTCTGGACCATTTAGATTATGTTTAGATGAGGTACCGCGACATCTCACCTAGGCCCGAGGTTTGTAAACGTCTCTATCCCCAGCTTGGGGAATTTCCACCTGGCAGCTCTGGCCTGAGTGGCAGGTTTTCCTGTGGGAACATGGGACAGGCCCGCCTGCTGAGCTCTTGCCCACCCGTGGGCCGGTCTGGCCCTGCCTTCGGGGTGGTCTGGAAGGAAAGGTACAGGGAGCCTGGAGTCATGGCTGTGGTCAGCGGCCCCAGCGCAGATCTCAGCCCATCCTGATAACAAATAGCACCTCTCCAGGCCTGGTCTCCATGTCCAGAGTGCTTCAGCCCTAAGGGGGCTCCCTGGGGTGTCATGAGTCCTCCCCTCAGGACAGGGAGTGCTGCAAAGGAGGAACAGAGAGGTGGGAGTCAGAGTAACCAGAGCCCAGGGTCAGAGGCTGGAGCCAGAGCCAGCACTTCCTAGCTCTGCTTCTCAGTGTCCTTGTCAGGGTGGCCACAGGAACCCGAGGGAGACCCTGTGGCCCCAAGTCAGTCACATGGAGACTGCTCACTGTGGCTTTGCTGTGGGCCAGGCCTTGGTGGCCAGGGAACAGGGATGCTGACTGGGCAGTGTGGTGTGTGGGCCTTCCTGTGGCTCCCTGCTGCCCTCTGAGTGTGGCAGGAGGGCCTGACACCTGTGGGCTGAATGAGGAGGTCCCAGCTGAGGAAAGGGAAGGGCACAAGAGTGGACCCCATCACAGCTCTGGCTCCCAGCCCGCAGCTGCTCCCCATCTCTCTGCCAACTACCAGAACAACACAGGAAACTGGGACCTGTGCCTCTGGTCCCAGGACAGGCCCCTGGAAACCATTCCTGCCCCTCTGAGAGGCTGCAGCTGTGCCGCCCGGTCTCAGGGGACACCTAGCTATGGAACGGGGCCTGGTGCAGGATGCCTCCAGGCAAAGGCTCAGATGGGCTGGAGGACAGAGGTACAGCTGAGTGAAGCTCAGGGGACCCACACATGCTTCTGAAGGTCTCCCTCAACCTCCACCAGCCCAGGGGCCTGGGGAAGAGTGGGGTCCTTGATTTCTCCTGGCTCCCATATCCTTTTCGGGCACCCTGAGCTGGCAACAGCATGGAACCCCTCAAGGGAGAGGAGCAGGGCAGGGGCGGCAGTTTGTTCTGCTGCATCTTCAGCTTCCCCTTCCTCAGGTGCCAGGTGGAGGTCAGAGAATCTCTCCTGGCTTTCACGTGGATCCCTTGCCCCAACCCGCCCCAGCGGCGGGCACGAGGTAAGGGCTCCCTTGCCAGCCCCTCCTCCCTGCCCTTGTCTCTTCCTGTTTGTGGGCTCACCTGAGGTGTGAGGGGAGGGAGTGCCACTCTTTCCATCCAGGTCCCAGGCAAGCAGCACCTCCCCGCTCTCCTGTACCCCGGACACAGCCAGCAGCTCCTGCCATGGACAGGTGGTATCTGGGTGAGTCCTCTGAGCCCCATTCCTCCTCCCTGCTCAGGCTCTGACACAGGTGCACACCCCATCCCTTTCAAGCTCCCCAGAAGTGCAGGAAAAGCAGAAAGGAGGACAGGCAGAAATTTCCAACAAACAGCATCTCCATACAGAGTCACGGGCCTGCTGTGACATGCGTGCCAAGCATCTCTGGAGCGGCGAGGGCCGGGAAGGCAGCTCATTTGCTTGTCTGTCCATCCGCCCTTCAGAGATGCAGGAGCTCAGAAGCCGGACTGCTGGCTGCAGATCTTGGTTCCCCTACTTTCTAGCTGTCTGACCTCTGGCAAGTTATTTAACTTATCTTGGCCTCAGTTTCTTCCTCTATGAAATGGGGTGATAATAATGCCTTCCTTACCTTATAGAGTCATTGTGATGACTAAAGAATTGATTTCTGTAAACTGCTTGAAACGGTGCCTTGTACACAGGGTTTAAAAATGCAGCCATCAATTAGCTTTTCCTATTGCTTCCTATTCATCTATCTATTGATTGATCTATCATCCATATCTATCATCTATCAATCATCTATCTATCTATCTGTCATCTATCTATCATCTATCAATCATCTATCTATCTATCTGTCATCTATCTATCATCTATCAATCATCTATCTATCATCTATCTATCTATCTATCATCTATCAATCATCTATCTATCTATCTATCATCTATCAACCATCTATCTATCATCTATCTATCTATCTATCATCTATCAATCATCTATCTATCTATCTATCATCTATCAACCATCTATCTATCTATCTATCTATCTATCTATTATCTATCAATCATCTGTCTATCTATCTATCTAATCTATTAATCTATAGGTGCCTCCTCACCCTGCAGCGGGAGCCCTCCATCCACACTGCAGCTTTTCTTGTGATCAGGGTAAATATTACCTGGCACTGTTAATGTTTAATGCCCCCAACTTGTCCCCGGCCACCCTGCTGAGGAGGCCAGACACTCCCAGAAGCAGAGACAGCAGGAAGGGGGGAGGGGAAGCAATCCATTCAGCTGTGGAAATGACTGGGTTGTCAACGGATACACAGATAGATAGATGGAAGAGAGAGAGAGAGAGAGAGAGAGGAAGTTATTTAACTTCCCACCTATTTTCACATCTCTTATTATTCCTGAAACACTCCACATTGGCTTACAAATATAGACAACGCAGTAAGATAATGCGATCCTGTATAATAAAGGGAGCACCCTTGTCTTGTTTGGAGTCGGCAGTAGCTTTGGTAGCACATCTTGGAGGGTCTGGGCTTTCCACCTCTGGTTTGCCATTGACTGCGTGTTTCAGGCAAGTCCCTTCACCTTCCTGCCCTCGGTTTTTCTGGTGTACCCTGTGGGGATCACGGCACTGCCCTGGCCACCTCTAGAGGGTATTGTGGACAGCAAATGAGCAGCCTCAGTTTCTTTAGCTGTAAAAAGGCGCTATCAGGAATTAAGTGGGGCAGTGCTTGTGAAAAGCCTGCCATGTGGTCCGTCTTCACCAAATGCTGGCTCTGCTGTGATGTTGGTACACATGTACATTTCTTGGCTCTGAAAGCAGAGGGAGCTGAAAGGGTGTTGAAGCACCTCATCTGCAGGGTTCCGACATTCCCTCCATCTCACTCATTAGTGCTCATTTTCACTGGACGGCGGCTGCCTTTTCCGTGTCCAACAACAAACATCTAACAAAGGCTAATGCCTGCTGTTTCTTCAGCCAGCACATGTATAACAGGAACAATGATGCCGCTCACTGTGTGCCAGGCTCTTGGCATGCATGATCTCACTTCCCCTCACAACCACCCTAGGAGCTGGGTACTGCACCCATTTTACAGATGAAGAGACTGAGGCACAGAGAGGTGAAGTAATTGACTGAGACCAAAAGATTAGCAAGTGAGAGGGTCAGGGTGTGAACTCAAGTGCCGAGCCCTCTTCCTGCTTGGGGAGGATTCATAGATAGAGTGACTTCCTTCAGAAGGGCTCAAGCACCCCTGGTGGCCCCTGGCCACTGACCTTGGTTGTTTGGTGGCCATTGGATTTCAGCCTCTTCTAGAGGCCAATTCAGTGGACTAGAACTCAACCAGGATTCCACAGCACCCACAACTACCTGGCACAGGAATCCTGGGGTGAAAGAGCTCACAGGGGAGTGGGAAGGCTGCCTGTGAGGTGTGGAAAGCACCTGCCTCCAGCAGCAGGAAGCCTGTCAGCCTCCACTTGCCCCGCACTGGCTGTGTTACCTTGGGCAAGGCCCCCACCTCTCTGGGCCTTACACACCTGCCTCATCACTGTGTGACCTTGGGCAAGGCCCCCACCTCTCTGGGCCTTACACACCTGCCTCATCACTGTGTGACCTTGGGCAAGGCCCCCACCTCTCCGGGCCTTACACACCTGCCTCATCACTGTGTGACCTTGGGCAAGGCCCCCACCTCTCTGGGCCTTACACACCTGCCTCATCACTGTGTGACCTTGGGCAAGGCCCCCACCTCTCCATGCCTTACACACCTGCCTCATCACTGTGTGACCTTGGGCAAGGCCCCCACCTCTCTGGGCCTAACACACCTGCCTCATCACTGTGTGACATTGGGCAAGGCCCCCACCTCTCCATGCCTTACACACCTGCCTCATCACTGTGTGACACTGGGCAAGGCCCCCACCTCTCCATGCCTTACACACCTGCCTCATCACTGTGTGACCTTGGGCAAGGCCCCCACCTCTCCATGCCTTACACACCTGCCTCATCACTGTGTGACACTGGGCAAGGCCCCCACCTCTCCATGCCTTACACACCTGCCTCATCACTGTGTGACCTTGGGCAAGGCCCCCACCTCTCCATGCCTTACACACCTGCCTCATCACTGTGTGACCTTGGGCAAGGCCCCCACCTCTCCATGCCTTACACACCTGCCTCATCACTGTGTGACACTGGGCAAGGCCCTCACCTCTCCGTGCCTTACACACCTGCCTCATCACTGTGTGACATTGGGCAAGGCCCTCACCTCTCCGTGTCTTACACACCTGCCTCATCACTGTGTGACATTGGGCAAGGCCCTCACCTCTCCGTGTCTTACACACCTGCCTCATCACTGTGTGACCTTGGGCAAGGCCCCCACCTCTCTGGGCCTTACACACCTGCCTCATCAGTAAAATGGGAAACATAAAACTTAGGAGAGAAGGGTGAGGAAAGTGCTTGGTAAACCATAAAAGCAGGGGGTCTGGCTGTGATGAAAGCCTTGCCCCGTCCTTAAAAAGCCTGCATGCGCCATGGTAAACTGACAAGGCAACAGCCCGAGAGCCAGGCCAAATGGTGGTAGGAGGAAGTGCCGGGTGCGGGGCGGGGGGGCGGGGCAGAGAAGGAGAGATTAGTTGGGGATGACTGGGGCCCTTCCAACTGAGGTGTAAGCTGCGGGGTGCACACTGATGAGTGAATAGAATGACAGATGAAGGGCTTTTCTGGAGGATCAACTGCTGGTGGGCTTGGGGGTGCTCCAGGGCTGTGGTGGGGGAGCAGTAGGCCAGGCTCCTAGGGACCACTGCAGGAAAGCCTCCAGTGCCACATAGGAACACCAGCTGCAGCGGTAGCATCCACGGTGGCTGGTGCAGTGGGCCCTGCTGGGGCTGGGGGCCGCTGTGGGACCCTTAACACTGGCCCCCGGAAGCTCCCAAGTGCCGTGTACACTGTACGGATTGTGCAACTTCACTTCCCTGTTTCCACCACCCCAGCTGGCAGAAGAGCACCATTGCTCACCCATCCCAGCCCTTCTCTTTGGAAATTTCCTTTGGGAGGGTTTGGAAGGCAGCTTCTTCCCTCCCCTGCCTCCCCCACGCACCTCTTCACCCTGCGGCAGGAGCCCCTCCATCCACACTGCAGCTTTTCTTGTAACCAGGGTAAATATTACCTGGCACTGTTAATGTTTAATGCCCCCACCTCGCGGAGGCTACCAGACACCCTCCGAAAAGCAGAGACAGCAGGAAGAGGGAGGGGAGGCAATCCATTCTTCTGGGGAAATGACCGGGCTGTCTACGGGCGATGGTGAGTGTGCTGGTGTGTGCCCGGGCGTGTGCGATTCTGGGCGGCTCTGCTTGGCCTGCCTTGGTGGGGACAGCTGGACCCCCCTCTTCCCTCTCCTGCCACCTCAGCCTTCCAGAGTACCCAGCCCCTCTTCCGGTCAGGCTCCTAAGAAAATTTGCAACTTAAAAGAGGACGCTGCTTTAACACCAAACAAAGATAGCTTGAGAAGATAGAACCGGAGGGCTGGGCGCCCTCCTCGGGCTCCTGGCACAGCCCGCTGAGTTCATGCATCTTGCTAGACCCTCTGAACTCAGGCAGGAGGCAGACGGGGTCCATCTGGCTGGGAAAGGAGCAGCCTTGGTCAGACTTCCTAGGCTAGATTTGGTCTGAGGGGCCCCCAAGTTCAAGTCACACTCCCTAAAGGCTTCCTGTGACAGGAACTGACTCAGGCCTGGAACCAAGAGGGGCGCCTGCTGACAGAGGTGGGTTTTGAGCCAGACACAGAAAGGGAGGGGTGCTGGGCAGGGAGGGTCTCAGCAAATGGCTCAAGGCAAGGTGGCCATGGAGGAGGGGGTTTCCTGGGGTGTGAGGAGAAGCTCTGGCTTTCGTCTAGCTGTTGCTCTGACACTTAAATCCCCATACAACCTTGAACAAGGCCTGAACCAAATCTGGGAAGATGGCCCTGAAGGCCTTGTATATTGGACCTGGGTCCGTCATGGCCTCCCTGAGCAACCAGCACCTCAGGCCTGCCAGGATGGTCACCAACTCCTCCTGCCTGTTCTCTCCTGGCCGAGGGACTGGCCACTGGGGACAGCGGGACTTGCCAGGCCCCGAGGCTCACCACTGCCCAGGGCACAGTTCAGCACAGCCTGGGAGGGGCTGGCTTGCTCATTCCTTCCTCCTCGGACTCTACTTCCCTGGTGCAAGAAGGGGCTCCAGCAGGGAAGGAAAGAAGCGCAGTCCTCAGTGGTGGCAAAAGCGTCCTGGGCAGGCCACAGGCCACTGTCCGGGGCAAGTATCTTCAGCTGCAGGGCACTACTGGGAGACCCACCTGCTGAGCAGTTCCAAATCCAGGGAGGCCACTGGAGGCAGGGGCAGGACCTTGCCTCAAATGGGCTCCTTCCTTCCTGCCATTGAGAGGCAGCAGAGCTAAGAGCTTACGCACCAGCATTCTCAGCCCCCTGCTGCCCAGGTTCAAACCCAGCTCTACCCCTGACTTGCTGTGTAACTGTGGGGGAATTACTTAACTTCTCTGTGCTTCCATTCTCACACGGATTCCACTGAAACGGCATTGACACCTCATAAGGCTGCCGTCATGGTTAGAGGAGTTAGGGTCTTGTTAGCTTTTGCCCCGTGCCTGACCAACACCATATATTAATGTTTCCTAACTAGATCTGCTTCCCCCTGAGGATGGTAACATAGGAGAGCAGGTCTGTCTCAGCTTTCAGTGGGACTTTGGATAAGTCTCCACGGTGGGCTTGGCTTCCACCTGCTGTCCCATAACTTTAAGGTTTTGTTTTATTTATTCAAGCATTTCACAAATACCTCCTAAGCACCTCATAGCCAATTGGTTCTGTGGAGAGAGGCCGCTGGGAGTCTAATGGGAGAGGCCTCTCCTGGCCTTTTCTACCATAGTAGGAAGCAAGGAGCAGGAGAGAGCCAGCCCTCTCAAGTGTCAGAGGCCCCCAAGACAGCACAGACACTCAGCGTTTGGTCCCCGGTTGACTGTGTCTGAAGCCGCCTAGGGCAGAAGCCTGCTGGCAAAGGTTTAAGCAATACCCCTGAGCCCAGCCTCCCCTCACCGCTTGGACCCTCAGGGATCCTCTGGGAAGGGAAGGACAGGGAATTCCAACTGTTTCTGTGCTGGCCCACGGTCGGTGACTCCTTTCCTCCCACCTCTGGCTCTCTCCTAGGCGGCAGCCCCCAGGCGGACATGGACCCATTCTACTACGGTAAGCCTGGGCCCCTGTGCATCCTTCCCCAGCACTCAGGACCCCTCCCACCAAGAAGCGGCCTCTCTCAGCCCCAGGTCCACACTCTGTGCCCCTTACCTCCCCTGGTTACTATGGGCTGCTGGGGGGTGGGCTGCGGGGAGAAACTGCTGCCGGGAGAGACCACCCATGCCGCCCCTCTTGCCCTCTCTTTCCTGAGACTATGAGACTGTCCGCAAAGGGGGCCTGATCTTCGCTGGGCTGGCCTTCATCGTGGGGCTCCTCATCATCCTCAGTAAGTGGGGTGGCCTCCAGGGATGGGGTGCTGGCCGGGACACATCTCTTCTTAAGGCTGCTGAGCAGGCTGGCTTTCCAGAGTCCCCGAGGGAGGGGTGAGCCTCCCTACCACCTCCTCCCCTGCAGAATGGGGGAACCCATGCTGGGTGGGATGCCAGGCTCTCAAGCACAATGTGAGGTTCCTGCTCACTCAAGTGCACCCTTCAGTGGGCCCAGGAGGAGCTGTGGAGGCAGGAGCAAAGCTGCAGGGTAAGCCAAGGGCCAGGCAGGGAGACTGTACCGGCTGCTGCTATCCATGGGTCCCAAACTCATCCATTCAATAGGGATGATCCCACCTGCCTCACAAAGATTAGGGCTAGCCTCTAGAAACACAGCAGTCAGGACAGTAGTTTAAGATGGTCCAGTGCAGGCCGAGTGCGGGGACTCATGCCTGTAATCTCAGCACTTTGGGAGGCCGAGGTGGGCAGATTGCCTGAGGTCAGGAGTTCAAGACCAGCTTGGCCAACATGGTGAAATCCCATCTCTACTAAAAATACAAAAAAAAAAATTAGTCAGGCATAGTGCACGCCTGTAATCCTAGCTACTCAGGAGGCTGAGTCAGGGGAATAGCTTGAACCAGGGAGGTGGAGGTTGCAGTGAGCCAAGATTGTACCACTGCATTACAGCCTGGGCAACGGAGCAAGGCTCAGTCTCAGAAAGAAAAAAAAAGAATAGTTCAATGCAGACTTGGAGTGCTCTGGGAGAGACAAGGAGCCTTATATATCCCCAAGCTCCTGAGAGGCACACAGCAGGAGCTTAATATCTGCACGTTGACTTGTTTTGATTCAGCGCAAAGAAAAATACAAAGAAAACACAACCCATGAAAAAAAGCTCCGGCAAGCACAGCTATGGACTCTGAAATCCTAAGGCTCGGGCCGCAGTCCTGCACCTCTCCCCACTTTCCCATGTTGCCTGTGGCAACTCCCGGAGGGTAGAGCCGGTTGGTGGCTGAGCACACAGGCACAGGAGGCAGGTGGCCTGAGCAAGGAGCTCTGCTTTGGAATTGCTGCCATCCTTCTCCAGAGAGCTGTTCATCGGGCAGCTACTCTGTGCCCAGTGCTGTGATGGGGACACCATGATGGCCCAGTCTCTGCTGCTGCTCTTGATATGCCAATAGCCCACCATGGATCTGCTCCAATAAATGTTTGCTGACTGACTGACTTAGGCTCTTGAAAGCCTATGGTCCAGCCTTATATAAAGAGAGAGATGGCTGGGCGTGGTGGCTCATGCCTGTAATGCAGGCATATCAGGAGGCCAAGGCAGGAGGATCTCTTGAGACCAGTAGTGTAAGACCAGCCTGGCCAATATGGTGAGATCCCATCTATACAAAATTTTTTGGGTTTTTTTTTTTGAGACAGAGTCTCTCTTTGTCACCCAGGCTGGAGTGCAACGGCACTATCTCAGCTCACCGCAACCTCCACCTCCAGGGTTCAGGTGATTCTCCTGCCTCAGTCTCTGGAGTAGCTGGGATTACAGGCGCCTGCCACCATGCCCAGCTAATTTTTGTATTTTTTCTAGTAGAGATGGGGTTTCACCATGTTGTCCAGGCTGGTTTTGAACTCCTGACCTCAGGGGATCCACCCACCTTGGCCTCCCAAAGTGCTGGGATTACAGGCAGGAGCCAAAAACATTTTTAAAAATCAGCTGGGCATAACGGTCTGTGCTTATAGTCCCAGTTACTTGGGAGGCTGAGGCAGGAAGATTGCTTGAGCCCAGGAGCTTGAGGCTGCAGTGAGCCTGGACTCACACCACTGCACTCCAGCCTGGGTGACAGAGTAAGACCCTGTCTCAAAAAATAAAATAAAATGTGACAGTCAAATGTGGCTGGCCCTGCGGTGGTGCTGACAGGAGGAAGGTAGGAGAGAATGGAATGATTTGGAGTCTTCCAAGGTCTCTTTGGAAAATGAGTTCATGGAAACAAATCTCCTTTTTTCTTTTCAAGGCAAAAGATTCCACTGCAGGGGCAACAAGAAGCGCAGGTGAGCGCTGCCTGGGGTCACCGATGAGAGGGTTGGGCCCAGGGAAGGAAGGGCGGGCTGAGGATTTTGTCTCTGTGGCTGTGGAAGGGTCCCAGCCTCAGGGATCCCTATACCTACCCCCCTCCACCCTCTCACCTGTGGCTTTTCCTTCCCCACCCAGGCAAATCACTGACGATGAGCTGTAACAACAGGTACGCTAGGAAAGCCTGGGCGAAGGGGAGGGCAGAGCAGGCTTGGGAGCAACGGGGAGGGGTTCTGGCTCCTGGACTGGGTAGGGAAGAATTTTAGGGTCGTCCACACATCAGCCAGGTAGTCTGTCACCCATTGTGTGTTTAAAATGATTGCCAAAGGCCTGGCATGGAGTGTGTGCTACAGGAGATCACAGAGGAGCCCTGGAGAAAAGTGAGATGGACAAGGACATAAAACCCCGAGCCCTGCTGCCACCCACCCAGCCCCATTCTGCCTTTGTCTTTTCAGCCTTGGCTGTGCCACCTGCTGCCCTGGGGTCAGCTGGAAAGCCAGGCATGCCCCTGCCTTTGGCGTCTTCCCGTCTTCCCTGGGCTGTAGACCTTTGTCACCATCACTGCCAGCGCTTGTGCTGAAGGAAGTTCCAGGCTCAATGTGACCCCCAGGTGGGCATCGCCACCTCCCGTCCTGTGCCAGCTTATGTTCATAATAAAACCAGCGTCAGAGACTGCTGCTTCCATCGCCTACCTGTCTGTCTCCCTCCTCTGTCAACCACCCACTTCTCCAAGTTCAAGTACAAATACAGCTGGGTCTCACTTGTTTTTCAATTAATTGCGCAGGCACCTGTCTGCCTGTAAAAGCAAGAAGTTCAGTGTTGTCATCTGCAAGCCTGAACTGGCACCCCCGAACTGGCAGGAGCCCTGGGGACAGAGGCCTCAGCCTGTCTTTTATATGCCTGGGAAGTATGAAAGACCCCCAGGGTCAAAGCCGTGGGCCTATTGGATACCCATGAGGCTTCTGCCCTAGGCACCAGGTGCTGCTGTTGGGATCCTGGTGACCCTGCCTATAAGTTGCTTTGGAGAGGTCCCAGGCTACCCAGATGGGCCCGTGTTTGGCCACATTCGTGTTCTTTACCATTTTCCACATGTACACCTTGGCCCAGGGTGGGTGGGTCTGGGGGACCTGGTGCTGGGCCTCCACACGTGTCCTGAAGGAGCCAGACCTCTTCCCAGCCTCCTCCTGGTACTAAGCTCAGGTCATGTCTTTCTACTCTTGGGGCCACCTATTTGGAGACTTGGTTAATCCCAGGGCCTGGGGCCAGGGAACAGACAGTGAGAGTGAGACCATTGTTAAGCTTGCTCCAGCCCCCGTCCATGCAGGCAGGGACCCACTGGGACAGCCTCAGCCTGAGATGCTGCCAGGTCGCTCCTGCTACCAGTGCCGGACTCCTAATGCCATCTTTGCTGTGAGTTCGAGGTCGAGGCCGTGCAGGGAGGGATCTGGGAGTTTCTGCATTCAGGAAGGAGCCCGCCTTTCCTCTCCCTCCCTTCACTCAGAGGCCACTAAGGCTGGAGGGATGGTGGGATTCTGGCACCACCTAGTGTCTGGCTTTCTCACCTGGGCTTGCAAGCCGTTGAGGGAGAGGAGGGGAAAACCGGCATGAGAACCAAGCTACCGGAGCAGGAAATGAACAGGGCGTGTTTGGGGGGCCAGAGGCAGGATGGAACCCGCTCCACTTGGGAATTAAGCTCTTCGTCTTAATCCACTGCCCTCAGTCCCTGAAAACCGCCAACCTGTCTACACAGAAGGCTTGAGCAGGGAAGGGTCCTTAGAGAGCAAAACAGACCATCTTCAATTCACAGAAGGGGAAACTGAGGCTCTAAGAAAGGCCGTGGCTTGTCTGGAGTGACATGGCCAGTCTGCATCAGAGCCAGACAAAATTCAGGGCTCCGGCTCCCCTTCCAGGGCTCTTCCCACCACACGGACATCCAAAGGACAGGGAGCGTGGGGCAGGGGTGGACTCCCCGCTGACCACCTGTGGGTTTGGAGAGCTAAGGGGAGAGAGGGAAGGCCCGGAGGTGGGAGGAGAACAGGAGCCATGCAGGGGAAGGCCTGGTGACTTACAACCCAGCACCAAGTCCTTGTGATACCCTGCACCAAATGGGGACTCACTGGTGACGGGGAAAATGTGTTGGCCAAACCCTTAAGCGGAATTTAGTTTTTCCACAAGGGCGTTAGGGGCACACACTTGAGGATGGGAGAAATGAACACAAATGGGGCAGGTCCAGCCAGGGGGGCTTTCGGGAGGAGGAGGCTCCCAACGCCTCTTGGATGTAGCAGCAAGGCAAACAGGAAGACAGGGTATTCCAGACCGGTAGCCCACCCCCAGAGAAGCAAGAGAACTGGAGAAGGGTCACATTTCTAGAACGTTCTAGAATGTTCCATAGAGAGGACCATCCAGTCTGCCACACTCAGAGGGAAATTCCAACTGCTCTGGATGAGTCACTTCCCCTCGATTACCCTTCTTCAAAGGCCTCCCTCCTTGTGAAATGTGAGGCTTTATCAGGTCTGAACCTGGGGGGCTTTTAAAACCACCGTGTACCCAGATTCCCCCAGCCCAGTTGAATGTGAGGCTTTCGGGGTGGCCCATGCAGGCTGAGGCTTAACAAGCCCTATGGCCCCAGGGGGCATTCGGAGGCCTGGAACTTGCTTTCTAGCCAGGGCTCTTGTGAACATTTCCCTTCCCTCTCCAGAAAGGTCACCTGGACTGCCAGTTCCGAACTTTCACTTCACTTTGGGATTTTCCACAATTCAGACCGGCACTGAGTCACAAAAACTACCAAGCCTGGGAAGTGATTGGGTGAATGAATCACACAACGCCTACTACGACAGCCTCCGTCTGAGGGCGCAATCCCCTTTTTGACCACAAGAGAGAGCATGTGGCTTACGCCGAATACTCTCCAATTGCATGTTTTCAACTCAGCCTTTCCAAGGGCCTTGGCCGGGGAGGAGGGGCTCCTGGCTCCTGGCTTCTGACTGGTCAGCCTGGTGCCCTGATTTCCTAGGAAAACCTTCAGCTCTTCTCATTCTGCTGGTTCACACCGCCCCCCACCCCCCCCCACCCCGGTCCCCGCCCTGCCGCCAGGTACAGCACTTGCCTCACTCCAGGGTAATTCTTGGCTGTGGGGTCTTAAGTGATCATCCCTTCCCAGAAGCAGAGACCACGTGTGATCTACGCATCTTCCCCAAAGCCCGGGGAACGTGGACACCTCTCTAACTCCGCAGTCGGAATAAATCAACGACAGTAGGACATGGGGAGGGGCAGAGATGTCAAGGAGGGACGTTTGTGGGGTGGGAGGGGAAAGAGGCTTTGCCTGAGTAGCTGTTCCCAACCCTAGCTGCAGAGAGTCTTCTTCAACTGGTGGGGCATGGGTGGCTGTTCCGCCTCCCCAGGTGAACTCCACGTGGAGCAGAAGATGAAAGTCACAGCCTAGTAGGTGGGCATGGCCAGGTGAGAGAAGAACAGATGAGGGCCCAAAGGAAACTGGACTGTGTCGCCGTCTGGGGAGAGGGCAGATAGCTCTGTCCCGCCAGCAGCCTCACTCAGCCCCCAGGAGACACTTCCAGAGCCCCCAGGCCCAGAGCTGCTGGCCTTGGTCAGTAGGGTTGCAGGGTCTCTGATGAGTCCGCTGAGTCCTGGCCTTCCTCACAGCACCCATGAACAGGAAGAGCTGGGCAGGAAGCCCAGGGAGGGCCAGGAGAATCAGCCTGTGAGCCAGCAGCCAGTCCCACCCCTACCCCTTGCTAACAGGTCCAGTGCCCAAACCCTTCCAGCTTCTGCACAGCTCCAGAGAAAGCCCTGTGGGCATGGGGGCAGGAGGGCTTCTGCCAGGTTCTGGCAGGCACTCCCTGGTTGAGTGGCCTGGACTCACCTGTCAAAGGAATAGAACCTTGGACAGGCTGATCTCTAGCTCCCACAGGCTCATCTCCCGTCCAGGGTGAGGGTGCCCCTGGCATGGGCCTCCAGTGTTTCTAAATGCTTCGGGACATCAGGAGAAATCTCCATCCCGCCCCAGCAGTTCTGAACTCTCTCTGGTACAGGAGGAAGGGAAGGGTGCCCCCCAGAACGGAGCGTCTCCACTGGCACTGCCTCTAGGGAAGGAAGTGGGCTCCCTGGGTAGAGAGGGGTGAGAGTGGAGGGCACCAGGGGTGTTTTGTGCTGAAGACAGGCCCAGGGTGAGGGCGGTGTAGAATCTCCTCCCAGGCTCACGCACTCCAACCTCGCTCTGCTCCGCATGGCAGGGCCGCTGCAGGGGAGATTAGTCCGTCCCTGGTGATCTGAGGCCGAAGGCAGCTGAGCTCTGAACTGCAATTCAGCAGGGGCCTCTGGGGCGGGTAATCTGTGCCTCACCAAGCGCCCATTCTTCATTCCTCACAGGCTGCCTGACAAATGCCTGGCCAGCGGGGATCAGAGGCAAACGCCACTGCAGTTTGGCCCTGTTGTCAGAGCGAGTCACTGGCTGAGAAGATGAATCTGTCCTGGGCCTCAAAGCCAGGGCCGTAGCAGCCTCTCTTCTGGGCACCGAGAAGGCAGTGCTGAGCCCAGGGCTGCACTGGGAGAGACAAGGAGGGGCCCGAGTGTCTCAACCTTGGAAGAAACCTGGACCTCAGACTCAGTGCCCCTCCCAGCTCTGGCTGCAGGCTGTAGACACTTCATTGTCTCCTGCTGAGCGACTGAGGACTTGGGAGGAAATCCTGCTTAGAACTTCAAACCTCCATTCCCAGAGCCGCAACCAGACACTGGAGGGGCAAAGAAGGTGGCATCAGGAGATCATGAGGAGGGTCTCCCCGGGCATGGATGGACCTCCTGCCTGGAGGGGCTCAGGTGAGCTGTGTTCTGTGTTCAGGAGTGGCGGCTCCCCAAGCGCTGTTTTGGCAGATTTCATTTTCAGTTTGTAAGCAGTGGGGCCTCAGATGTGAAGGGAAGGTCAGAATTCAGGGTGCCCTAGCAGGTGCCCCAAGAGGGGCGAGGCACTGGGATTGGTGGTCCCCGTCCCAACAGCACCTGTCAGGGGACCGTGAATCTCCCTGAATTCTGAGCTTCCCTTCACAGGGTGCAGGTGAGAGCAGGTCAGGAGCACTTTTGGAACAGTGGAGGCCCAGCCTGGCCTGTCCCGCTCCCGTGGGTTTGCTGGGCTGCCTGCTGTCACCCTGAGTGACACCCCAATGTTCCTCAGCCGTAGGAGGCCTCCGGTCACCACGGCTCCTACTGTCACTAGATCTCTAAACTTGGTTCCATTTTCAAGAAGTGCTCACAGTCACTTCGCCAAAGGGCTTCTCTGGTGTCACTGAGAGGAATTCCCTCTCATAAGCAGGGCAGCAGGGAGGGTAAAATTGGGGAACATTCTGAGCTGGGGCAGCAATCTGTGGCCCCGGAAGCCTGGGCTGCATGCAGCTCAGCGCAGACCACAATGCGGAAGGGGGAAAATCGGCTTCACGGCCAGCTCTGCCCTTGGCCTGCTGTGTGACCTTGGGAAGGCCCTGGTCTGTCTCTGGACTTGCCTTTGGAAAAAACAGACACAAGATAAAAGTCCCAAGCTTCCGCTCACACGTCAAGGAGCTGTGACTTTTCAGGGGAAGAGGTAAGGGGAGAGCTATGGCTGACCCCCTGCTCCCTCCCGCCCCTTGGATAGCTGTTTTTAGAGCAAAGCTGGCTGCACCCCCACAGCCCCTGCAAATACACACTCGCCTCCTCCCCAAGAGAACACAGAGGCGCCCAGCAGGTGATGAAGGCAGACAAAAAGACACACTTGACAAAGCAAAGGAGATGCGGCTGGCTTGGCCCTGAGCCAGGACCATGTTGAATTCTCTTGCGGTCTTTGTTTCCTGAAAGGCCTATCAATCAGTAACTGCGTGTGTGCCAAACCCAGCCCACACGGGAACCTGGTGTCCTCTGCTCTGCAGTAAATCCTACTTCAGGTCTCATGTCCAAGGACCATATGCTCCCAACACAGCTAATAAAATCATCCGGGAGCAGCATGGAGCCTGCAGACAGCTGCCCCAGGGGGCAGGAGTGGGACGGGCCAGGCTGGGCCTCCGTTGTTCCAAGAGTGCTCCCGACCTGCCCTCTCTAGCACCCTCGGCACCTGCCAGGGGGCCCTGAGTCACCCTGAATTCTGAGCTTGCCTTCACATCTGAGGCCCCACTGCTTACAAGCTACATGAAGGCAGGGATTGCATCTCAAAGTTCACCCACCGATCCTACTTGGGGCTGGCATTTAGGAAATCCTGTACTAGAAGATAAACCAGAAGGTTTATGTTCTGTAGTTTCATCAACACTGTTCACTTAAGCTTGTCATAAACACTAATACAGTGTCTGGCACATACGTGATCGTCAACGAAAGTTTGCTGAATAATAAATGACTGAAACACACGCAATGGCCCAACCCAGCAGAAGCCCTGGTGAACACGGCCTCACCCCTCACCTGTTCTACACATCTGTAGTACTTCGTGGTGTACATAGCTCGTTTACACACATGATCCCGTTCAATCTCTTTAGTGAGTTGGATATCACAAGCCCCATCTCGCAGATGAGAAAACTGAGGGTCCGAGACACTGAAGGACTTGCCAAGGGTTGCTGGGTCAGTGACCCAGCCAAGCTCACTCCCACGCCTGTCTAGCCTGCTCCAGCAGCTCTGCCACTGCCCTGCCCCCCTTCGTATCGTTTCCACCACAAAACCTGCGAGGAGGAAAAATCCATCCAGAGAGACCAGTCTTCCAGACCTGTTGGGGATGCCTTAGAGTCGGGAGAGGCGACCTCAGGAATTTGCCTGAGACCCCAGGCTTCACTGCCAGCGCCTCACCTCCCTTTGGGAGCTTAGTACACACATGACCGGTTGACTGGAGGAGTGAATGAGTGTTTGAGATTGTGTGTGCATGTGTGTGAGATTGTGTGTGCACATGTGAATGTGAGTGCATGTGTGTGAGTGTGTGTATATGTGAATGTGAGTGTGTACATGAGTGTTTGAAATCTGTGCGTGTGTGAGATTGTGTGTGCATGTGTGAGATTGTGTGTGCACATGTGAATGTGATGCATTTGTGTGTGTGAATGTGTGTATGTACATGAGTGAAATTGTGTGTGTGAGATTGTGTATGAATGTGTGATTCTGTGAGCACATGTGAATGTGGGTGCACTTGAGTGTGTGTGTGAATGTGAGTGTGAGTGTATGAGTGTTTGAAAGTGTGTGATTGTGTGTGCATGTGAGATTGTGCACATGTGAATGTGAGTACATTTGAGTGTGCGTGAGTGTGTGTGAATGTGTGTATGTACATGAGTTTGAAATTGTGTGTGCATGAGTGTGTGAGATTTTGTGTTCATGTGTGGACATGTGTATATGAGTATGTGTGAATGTGAATGTGTGATTTCTGTGTGTGTGCAATGTGTGTTGCAGAATGTGTGTGAGTGAATGTGTATGTGAGAATGAGTGTGTGTGAATGTATGTGTGAACGTGTGTGTATGTGAGTGTGTGTGTATGTGAACGTGTGTGTGTGTGTTGTGAGTTGCTAGTTGTGCTGGAACTGGGGAGGAGGAGAGCAACCCAGGAGGGTGAGTGGGTGGACCTGGCATCTGGACCCTGTGCAGCGATTCGGCCTCCTCAGCTGAGAACGTCCCCTCCAGCATTTCCTAGAGGTTGGCAAGGACACAGGCTGGGGCAGGGGGTGAGCCCAGACTCCGGCGTCAACTGCGAGGCATGATAGGGGTGAAGCGCAGGGCCTGCGTAGTGGAGAATTTGAATGGCCGCCGTCTATGTGGACTCACAACAGCCGGCGGCGCCACCATTCCGTCCTGTGGCACTAGAGGGAGGCAGACACCAGGTTCCCTGTGTGGAGGCCTGGTTCCTTCCGTGGAGGACGGCAGAGACTTACCCAGCAGTGGACCAGGGAGTTGGGATGTCCTCTCCAGCTGTCAGAGCCACGCCCAAGGAGCCAGGCACAGTGAGGAGGAGGGCTCCCCACTTCCCACAGCTCCCACCCTTCCCACACTGCACTTACCACTAGTGCAGCCGCAACAGCTGACCTCCAGGACCCACCCCACCCTGGAGCTCGGCACAGAGCTTTTCTCCAAATGAGGCAAGACTTCTCCTAAGCCTGGGGTCTCAGGCAAACTCCTGAGGTCGCCTCTCCCGACTCTGAGGCATCCCTAACAGATCTGAAGACTGGTCTCTCTGAATGGATTTTTCCTCCTCGAAGGTTTTGTGGTGGAAATGATATGAAGGGGGGCAGGGCAGTGGCAGAGCTGCTGGAGCAGGCTAGACAGGCGTGGGAGTGAGCTTGGCTGGGTCACTGACCAACTGGGCAACCCTGGGCAAGTCCTTCAGTGTCTCAGAGCCTCAGTTTTCTCATCTGCGAAATGGGGCTTATGATACCCAACTCATTAAAGAGGTTGAACGGGATCATGTGTGTAAACGAGCTATGTACACCGAAAAGTACTACGGATGCATAGAACGGGTGAGGGGTGAGGCCGTGTTCACCAAGGCTTCTGCCGGTTTGGGCCATTGCGTGTGTTTCAGTGATTTATTATTCAGCAAACTTTCGTTGATGATAAAGCATGTGCCAGACACTGTATTAGTGTTTTTGACAAGCTTAAGTGAACTGTGTTTATGAAACTACAGAACATAAACCTTCTGGTTTATCTTCTAGTCCAGGATTTCCCAAAAGCCAGCCCCAAGACCTGTGCTAAGCTTCTTACATCCAAATACTGGGAAATAGAAAATACAGATCGCAGATTCTGTAACATGGGATCTCTCTCTCCCTTCTCCTCACCTGTGCCTGCGTGCATGTGTGGCTGTGTGGATTGGGAGCCACTGAGACCCAGAGATGGCAAATGCTCTCAGCGGACAGCATGTCCCCTGCCAGGGGCTTCAGGCATGTACCTATTAACTTTTCTGGAGGGGCGGGACAGCCACGGTCTCAGGTGTTTAAAATCTCTTAAAGGTTTGACCCATAGGAATGTGTCAGCAGAGTGCTAAGAATATGGAGTCAGAAGGCCTTCTAATTTCATATTCTGTCACTTAGTGGCTCCGTCATTTATTGGCAGCATAATTTTCAGCAAGTCACTTGCTTTCTGAAGCCTCAATTTCCTCATCTATAAAATGGGGATATTGATGCCTGTCTTGCTGTGGAATCTTCATGTGAGCATATTTTGAAAACCACAGGCCAGGCACGGTGGCTCACACCTGTAATGCCAGCACTTTGGGAGGCCAAGGCAGATGGATCACAAGGTCAGGAGTTTGAGGCCAGCCAGGCCAATGTAGTAAAACCCCATCTCTACTAAAAATGCAAAAATTAGCAGGGCATGGTGGCAGGCGCCTGTAGTCCCAGCTACTTGGGAGGCAGAGGTGTGATAACTGCTTGAACCCAGAGACGGAGGTTTCAGTGAGCTGACATCACACCTTTGTACTCCAGCCTGGGCGACAGAGTGAGATTCCGTCAAAAAAAAGAAAACTGCAAAGCTCCACTTTTTAACCCCGATGAAATCCAGAACCAGACTGACTTTTCAAAGGAGAAACCTTTCAGGCTGAATTTTCTTCCACTTCTTCCAAGTCCAGCTGTATCTCATATTGAAAGATGATCTCCATGGAGGAGCCCCCATCCCGCCCAAAGGTTTCTCGTACTCAGTCTTTGGGCGACACCTGCTGGCCGTAGCAGGTACTGTGTCCTCCTGTAGCTAAACAGCTCTGCGGAGGAAGCTTACCCATCTCCTTAGACATTCGCAGCCACGCTGCAGGTCAGTGTTCTAGTCCCACTTCTACAGATCAAAAAGGTGAGACTTGGTCCTCCCAGCTCATGAGAGGTGCAGTGAATCTCTCACTCCAGGTTCTTGGCTCCATCTCATCCCTACTTCTTGCTCTTAGGCTGGACGGAGTGGGGAGTCCTTTGCCTGGGAGGAGGACAACTCCCCACCCCCCAAATCATCCTAAAGTAGGCACTGGGATTAGGAGCAAGGTCAGGGTTGAAGCCAGGACAGGTCAGGTTGTCCCTGTGTCAACAGCCCCACCAGGAAGCGCACCACATCCAGTTGTTCCCCATCTGCAGAACAACCAGACGGATGGCCAGGACATCAGTGATACAAATTCACTCTGAGGAGGCAGAGAGATGTCATTTGGCCAGGCTGTGTGGTGAGGAGCTGGGGACAGGCTGCCCCCTGAGCCTGTTGCCTCCGTGCCCCCTGTGTGGGGCCGTGGCTAGCCTGAAATCCCGTGCGTGGCTTGGGGGCAGTGGCTGCACCTGGCCAAGGAAGTGAAACATATTGTGATTGAGAATGAGAATTTGGCCTCATCCTTGAGAGATGCACACAGACTGATCAATGCATGAAATTGTATAACATATGAAATTTGCTTCAGAAAAATTCGCGGTGATGGGAGCAGGGGCACGGATGAATCAAAACTGGTTGCAAGTCAACTATTATATCATCTGGGAAATAAAGGCATAGCGATTAGTTATATATACTATTCTCCCTACTTTTGTATATGCTTGAGATTCTCCATGTTCAAACTTTCTAAAAAATGAAACAGCAGAAACACTACCACCACCACCAAAGTCAATACAAAGAAAGATAACTCGAAATTAGACTGCCTTGAGCATCTGATGTGGTATGAATTGGACAAGTTAATTTCTCTATGCCTCAGTTTCATTGTCTTTAAAATGGGGATGGTAATAATCATACCAGTCTTAAGGGTTGTTTTGAGATTCTGCATCTGGAGTAATTAGCACAGTGCTGACCCCACAGCAAGCTCTGAATTATAATCATTGTTATTAGTAGGAGTCCAGGGTTCTGGTTATAATTTGCCAAAAGAAGAGGCTGCTTTAGCTGATGCAGACAAACAGTTCATCAGCCCAGCTCAGAGTTCAGACCGAGGAGTCTTTGAGGGCACAGCCCTGAGCTGCCACGTGCTGGGCGTATGGGTGGCTCAGATGGGTAGACACACACCATAGAGTCAGGCTTTCCTTAGACCCTGTAGGGAGGCCTTCTCCCTGCCTCTCTGCATATTCTTCCCATTATTCAAGCCCAACTCGCACCCACTTGATTTTTGCTGACCATTCCTTTCTCTGAGTTTAAGCAGCTCTCTTCACAGATGCATCGTACCTCTGCCCTAGGTGAGACTGTAAATGTCATCAAACCCAGCCACATCATCATAGCGTCATTCGACAGTCATCAAAGACCTGCCTTGGGTGGTGAGGATGGAGTGGTGAGCAAGGTGGGCAAGAGACGGAGGACAACACGGACTGGGAGGGAGGTAAACACCACTTAGCCAGGAGGTCAGGAGCCCTGGACCTAAGCCCTGACTTTGCCATGTGACCTGGGATGCCCTTCATCTGCTGGCCACTGTTTCCTTCTGGATGGGACAAGGCACTTGCAGGAGATGCTCCCCAGGTCCCTTCACACTCTAACCTGCTGACTCTGAGCATGTAGGTCTCCCTGTGTTGCTCTTTAAACATCTTCCTCACTGGAGTGCAAGCTTCCTGAGGGCAGGAACTCTGTGCTAGACTTTCCAGAGATCCGGGAGCTCCTTGCATGGGGGCTGGGTACAAGTGTGGGCCAGAAACAGTGAAAGAACAGAGTTTTTAACCGGGAGAGGTGGGAAATGGATCCCAAAAAAACCTCATACTGTACCACTTGGAGATTGACGATGGCCCACCAGCATGTTAAAGCCTGCAGTAAAAAAAAAAAACAAAAGCAACTCCCACAAAAACCTATTTACCTTTGATGATTCCAGTGTTTTCCAAACCTATTTGACCATAAATCAGTTTTCGCACCTGATTCATTACCTTCTCATGAAACACTTGTGAAATGTTATATTAGATCTTTTTGCGTTTTCAGTCGGGTTTATTAAAAACAAGGTCAAGTTTGGCAAAGATGCTAGGTTTCAATGTCATCGTGGCCTGAAATGGGACCTCATTACTGCATTCTTAGCTGAGCTCTGCCACCCTCACTGGGGCTGGGCTAGGATCTTAGAAGACATGCTCAGTCACCTGTTCTATAAGTACAATTTGACCCAGGCAACACCTCATTTCCCAACATTCGCCAGATGATGAGTGGGATCATGTTTTCTCTCAAATAATCCACCTTAGGATTACAGGCCGAGGAGCCCAGTTCAGTAGAAGTTCATGGGAAACTGGCCCAAACTGGCATGTCAGTCCGACAAACACCGCGCAACAGTAGGAGAAGATCAGGTGCCTGGACTGGAGCTGCTAACACCTCATCTGTATTCATGAGTCTATTCCGTTTTAAGAGACATTTTTTTTTTTTCTTTTTTGAGACAGACTCTGTCTCCCAGTCTGGAGTATAGTGGTGAATCACAGCTCACTACATCCTTGACCCCCTAGGCTCAGGCAATCCCCCCACCTCAGCCTCCCAAGTAGCTGGGACTACTGGCATGTACCACCATGCCCGGCAGGTGGAATTTCTCCTGGTCAGAGTGGCTGGGGGGCTTACTGGCATTTTGTAGTGACTCCTGGACTTTGAGGAGGGTCTTGGGTGTCCAAGTAGTGGCCAGTCACGGCGACAGTACGGATGCTGCCTTGCAGAGCCACCGTGGAAGGCATTAGGGCAGCACTGGGTGGTCTCCCGTCCTGAGATCCTCCAGCGCATAGACTGGCAAGTCCAGCCCATGGTGAAATGGCCAGACTTTTTAGGAAGAGGACTTTCAAATATAAGTTCAACTTTCATCATCTAAGTCAAGGTCACCCTCATGGGCCTGGGCCTTGACCTTCTCTTTTCTGGGGAGCAAAGTCTCTTCAAGGGAGCTAGCACTTTTAAGTACCTTCTGTGTGACCAGCACTGTACAAATAAATACATGATTGACATACAGACTCAAGACCTCTGAGGCAAGAGGGGAGCCCTGGTCAGAATCCAGAGAACCTGGTCCCCAGCCTCAGCGTGACCCAAGGAAAGTTCCCGCAATGGATTCAGGTTTTGCAGGGCCGGAAGCTTAGACCATTGAGGAGAACCTCTCTAAGGTAAACAATACGCAATTATGATTACAAAATTAGGTACAGATATGATTGTTAATTTAGAATGATAAAAAGAAATTGCAACAAGTTATAAATCTCAAAAAAACTGACCAATGCCATCATGAAATCCAGACAGATACATAATATTTGTATTAACTAAATGCCTGACACAACTCGAAAATGCTTTCCAAATTAAAAAAAATTTTTTTACATTACTTCTGCTCACAGCTTTACATGGGCTGGCTTCTGGCTCCATGCATTTCAACCCTTGTCTCTCCTGTGCCTACACACATCTCTGGTACAGACATCTGAGGCCACAGTTATACTGTGATACAACTCTGGCTCTGCAGCTTCATGTTGCAAAGCGTGGTGAGTGGGCCCAGCTGGTGGTAGGAATTCCTGCAAGCCATTCCCTACCCTGGGAGTACATGCGTGGCCCGTGAACCACTTCAATACACTCCGCCAATCCCAAGCCAGAGTCAGATCCACCCAAGATGTTCACCAGACCCACTGAGAAACCAGAGCGGAAAAGGGTAGCAGCTGTGATTGACTGCAGTTCACCTATATTATTCTACAGTTTTTGGCTTTTTTTTGAGACAGAGTCTCACTTGGTCACCCAGGCTGGAATGCAGTGGCTCCATCTCGGCTCACTGTAACCTCCACCTCCTGGGTTCAAGCGATTCTCCTGCCGCAGCCTCCTAAGTAGCTGGGACTACAGGTGCACACCACCACACCTGGCTAATTTTTGTATTTTTTTTTTTTTTTTTTTTTTTGAGACGGAGTTTCGCTCTTGTTACCCAGGCTGGAGTGCAATGGCGCAATCTCGGCTCACCGCAACCTCCGCCTCCTGGGCTCAGGCAATTCTCCTGCCTCAGCCTCCCGAGTAGCTGGGATTACAGGCACGTGCCACCATGCCCAGCTAATTTTTTGTATTTTTAGTAGAGATGGGGTTTCACCATGTTGACCTGGATGGTCTCAATCTCTTGACCTTGTGATCCACCCATCTCGGCCTCCCAAAGTGCTGGGATTACAGGCGTGAGCCACCGCGCCCCGCCCTAATTTTTGTATTTTTAGTAGAGACGGAGTTTTCCCATTTTGGCCAGGCTGGTCTCGAACTCCTGACCTCGGGTATCCGCCCACCTCAGCCTCCCAAAGTGCTGGGATTACAGGCATGAGCCACTGAGCCCAGCAGCAAATCTTTCAATATCTGACCATGTGAACACATGACTAGGGCCCTAAAGGACCCTGAAGCTTGAGCTGTGTAAGCGTCACAGTATAAGCATCTCTAATCTGCCTCTGGGACCCCTCTGACTTTCAGTCTTTTCATCTCTATAATGATCAAAACAAATTCTAACATATGTAACCACATTTTTTTTTTTATGAGAATCAGAAATGGATGAAGACATAAAGCTTCTGGAACCTAAAAATGCTGCCTACAGGGTCACGATGACGACCCTGAAGACCACAGTGACGTGGGCTGTGCAGGAACCCCCTGGACTTCTTTGGTTTTGGGGGTCAGCACTCCTACGGGGTCTAATGTCCTGCCAAAAGCTTGCCCTTAGAGACCAGAAACTCTAATACGAGACCTTCCAAGCTTAAGGCTTTGATCCCAGTTAAATGACATCTCTCTGGAAGGCATGGCACGTGAGGCTGTAATCAGGTATGTGTTACCTTGTGAGAATGAGCCTGTCTGGTCATTAAATCAACATTTACTGAGTGCTCTCCTAGTGCCAGGAGGCACCAGGCTAGGGGTTGTAGGTTCAAATCGAAAGGGTAGGAGCCCAGTATCTAGAAGAGGAGAAAAGTCAGACACGTGCATAAATAGCCACAATTCAAGACAAAGGGCTAAGACCCATGGGCCAAGCAGATGTCTGAGGTAGGGGGAGCCTAGAGGAGGCCTGGCCAGGGATAACTGGGGGTGTCTGACTAGGCCCTGCTGAATGGGAAGCCTCAAACAAGTTAAAAAGGGGGCACTGGTTACTTGAGAAAGGTGAAGGTTTTCCAGTGTAGGAAACACTTCCATAAATTTGATAAGCATATTTGTGAGTGACCCATGAGTCAAAAGAAATGCAGGAAGACTTGGGAAGCCAGCAAATTTAGCTCCACTCATTGCACTTTCCTTTTTTTTTTCTGTCTCTCATAGTTTCCAGACCTTCTACCCCACCACTCCCCAGAGAGAAACGTGACAATGAGCTTTAGCTCCGTAGAATCTGGACTTCACAGACCCTCTCTGGGTTGGCTTCTCAATCAATTTCAGAGCTGTGAGCTGAGAAGAAATAGCAGGAGAGAGGCCACAGTTATTCAGGAAACTCCTGTCTTGCTGGGGGCTTCCACAGCCCCTGACCAACCATCCCGGGGGCACTGCTGAGAGAGCAGCCTGAACAACGGCAGAGACCCCAGAGACTGCATCTGTACGGTGGGAGCCCCGGGGCTTTAAACCCTTTGCTCCAGTGATCTTAAAGCCATAATATGATAATCCAAACTGATGAGAGAGTAAGTGGCAAGCATACCGAGACATCTCATGAGCCCAGCAGACAGAATTTTGGTGTGAGGAGCACCTGGGTAGTTTAATGACACATGCTGTTTTTTCTATACAGGCGTCATAGTCTATGAATTGCAACAATTCATCCTATCTCAAGAAGATGGAGGTATTTTAGATATATGTGTATATATTTGAAGTCAAAACTGTTTATTTTGCATAAGTGTTTTTGTGTCTATTAGTTTCTGAATATCTGTGTATAAAAGCTTTCGTTGCTTTGCCTGCGTACATTCTTGGATATGCACATATGCGCCTGTGCGGGGTGGGATGGGGCCATGTGTGTATTTGTTTGCATTTTCCCTGCTTTGGTCTTAGGAAGGGACCTTGCTGATCATCCTAGCCCGACTCTTTCACCTCACTGGTGAAGAAATTGAAGTCCACAAGGTCAAGGTGACTTGTCACAGGTCACACAGCCGGCTATGGAGACAGAAATGAGGCAAGAACCTAGGATTTCAATTTGTGGATGAGCACCCTTTCTATAATATTAAAATCAATTATAAACCTGGGGGAGGGAAGGAGGGAGATCCTTTTATTTTCCTCCCCCAATCGATACATAAGTACTAAGAAGCTCAATCTTGAATTAGCTGTAGAATACCAAAAGTTAAGTTTTTCACACTGACCTGGTTCAGTATTGATTCCTTTTATGAAAACCCTATTTATACTCAAGTTGTCAAAGAATTCCAGAGGGCACATGAAGCCTTTGTTAAAATAATTATATGCCTTTGTTTTTGAAGAAAAGTATCCAAAATATATAAGCTTATTGTTTGAGTTAAACAATAAAAACATCTGTTGTTTCTCATGAAGCCTCTAGTCTTAATATAACATGGCAAAATAATACCCCTAAATATCCATGATTAACCTGAATTGGAGAGGGCCCACCTCCCAGTGACTTTGCAGAGCTGTTTCAACTGGCATTGGTTAAAAAAAAAAAAAAAAAAAAAGCACAAAAGCAAAAATATAGACAGATTATCACCCAGCGTTCTGAGTGCAAGAAAATATTGAACCTCATCACTGGTTTGAAATGGATAGGGTGTCCCTACTAGAAATGAATCCCACAAATTTGAGGCTAAAAAAAAAATGGAGCATATGCCTAGGTGCCAATGCAGAGTTTCTGGATTGTGTTCAAATCACATTTAAGCACAGGTGTGCCTGTCATTAAGTGTTTATGTTTACCTGCACACATGAATGTTTGCCTGGGCAAATGTGTTTGTTCTCACTCTGGCATGCATATATGTGTGTGTGTGTGTGTGTGCGCGTGTGTGAAGATTTCCATCTAATTTTGGGAATGGCTCCTTCTATAAAAATAAAACATATCCCCTCCAAAATGTCAGCTGGAGGGGGTGCTGTCAGGGTTTAAAGTGGCCATGGGGTGGAACATACCACCTGACTCTTCCCTAGAGTTTCATTTTCCCTTGGGATTTTCTGGCGTGCCGGCTCACCCACCCCTAATACAACTCCTATTGAGGAGAAGACTTCTGAATACATCTGAACCAACCTGTCATTTTCAAAGATGTTTTCCTAGATACTAAGGAGGAACAAAATCAATGGGAAACACAAAAAGCATACGGGCTGACCTGCCTGTTTTCCTGGTCCTTCTTTTGTTAGCCATGTCTCCAGGCCCTCCCAGCCTCAATGTGTACCTTCCGTGTTTCTGTAGATTCTTGCCTGGATTCCCAGCTCCTTGGGTCTGGCCTTGTCACATCACGGAATGCACAATATCATCCCAACATTCCCCCAGTGGAGCTGTCCCCTCCTCCCAGCTTCCACAGGTCAAGGTCCTTGTGAGCAAAGCCCCTCCCATTCATCATAGTTACCTATGCTCACTAGGTGCCAGCCATGGGGCTTGTCTTAGTTAATCCTCACCTTCCCAGGAAGATATTGGGGATGTCTCCATTCCACTGGTAAGGAAACTGCAGACTGGCACACATAAATTTCCCAAGGCACACAGCTAGTAAGTGGCAGAGCTGGGCTGAGAACTCATCTCTTGCGGTTTCCAAAACCAGGCTCCTAATCATGACATTAGAAAGCTCCCTTTTGCCAGAGGGGGGTCCCAGGTCCGCTCTCCCCACCTGACCATCTATTTCCACACAGATGTCTTCTCTGAGGACAGCCAGGCTGCAGTCACCAGCACAATGAATGACCTGGCCCTTCAGATGACACATAGGCTGTGGTTCTTTAAAGGCCCCTGAGTGTAACTAGCATAAAACCTCCTACACTCAGGTTGCAGGGGATACTTGGGGTGGATGCGAAAAGGAGGGTCATCCTCTACTTCCAGTGTGTGGGGCACGGAGCAGCTGTGCTGATACCCCCAGGCCCACTCGGATCTCCTGCCAGCAGACAGCAGCCCCTTTCATCCTGTCTGCCCCAGCAGTTTATTTTAGGCATGGCTTGACCGGGTGCTCTGGGTCAATAGGCTTAGTTTTAAATAACTGGATTCCTCTCAATGACCGTCCCCTTTAGAAGGGAAGGGGCATGGTAGAAGAATGAGCCAGGAGGCTGGGGGCAGTGAGAGATGGGAGCTAAGACAGAAGACTGGAAACGTGTGGGCTCTGTTGCTCCCTGCGTGACCTGGGGCAGGCTTATGGCTTCCCCACTCTGGGCCTCAGTTTCCTCATCTGTAAAGCAGAAGATCGATCTACATCATCTCAAACACCCCCTGCAGTCTGTTCCCCCCATCTCTGTTCTATGCCTGTGTTTCCAGATGACAAAACCCCTCATGAAAATTGTTTCAGGGTGGTGATTTCACATGAAGGAGGTGAGCTGCCAAGGGAAGCAGCAGCTTGCAGAGCAAGCTCTGCTCTGGAGTTCGGAGACCTGGGTTCTAGTCTTGTTTCTGATACAAACTTGGTGGCCTTGAACAAGCTAAGCCCCGATTTCTCACCTGTTTAAAGGATGAACCTTGAAAACATTGTGTTGAGTGAAATAAGCCGAGCATAAAAGGAAGGGATACATGTTTTATGATTCCACTTATGAGGTACCTAGAATAAGCAACTGCATAGAGATGGAAAGTGGCATGGTGGTTGCCAGGAACTGGGGTGGCTGCCAGGAAGGGGAGTTATTATTTAATGGGTGCAGGGTTGTTTGGGATGAGGAAAAATTTTGGAAATGGGAAGTGGTGGTGGTTGCACATCGTGAATGTATTTAATGCCATAGAATAATACACTTCAAGTGGTTTAAATGGTAAATTTTATGTTGTGTATATTTTAACATATAAAAACACACACTTTTCAAAATTTAGTTAAAATTTCTAGGGATATTTTGACAAAACCTGGGAGTGAGGAGTCCCAATTCTCCTGCGTGATCTTAGGCCACGCATTTCAGAGAAGCAAATTTTCTTCCTCTGGCAAATGCAGCTGGCCAGTGGCCCCCTTCTCTCCCTCCAACCCTCGCACGCCACACCTTAGAATGTTTCCAGGTACAGCCAAGTTGCCAGGGCATATTCAGAGCAGCTTCCCTGACCCTGCAAAGGGAGGTCCAGTCCTGGCTCATAGGCCATTCTCAGAGGTACCCGGATCCCTTCTCTGGGTTCTGTGACCCCTTATTTTGAAATGAAGACAAAAGGAGGGCTTGCCCACTGTATTGACCTTTTACTGCAGACCTGGCTCGGCCGTGCCTGCATCCCCAGTGCCTGAGCCGGTGCCTGACATAGCAGGTGTTCAACATTCATTTGGTCACTGAGAAGACACGGTCACACCAGTCCTATTCTGTGTCAACTTCACAAAGATGAGTATAAGGAATAAGCCAATTTCTGACAGGCAAGAAAACAATAGGGGTGGGTAGGTGAAGATAAAGGATACACAGGTAGACATCAAATGGTTCATTGCAAATAGTTGTTTAAATAGTCACAATGCGCCAAGTGCTGAGGAAAAATCGAACAGAGTGCCAGGGGGTGGCCGGAGTTAGCTGTGGCTCTCCGGAGGGCAGGTTTGCGGAAGTCAGGAGGGGTTGGAAGGGAAGCTACGAACTTTAGGGCGGGGAGTAGCCCAGATAGCACTGGAGAGCCTGGGATTCTACCCAGAGCGTCCGTGCTGCTCCCAGGGGGGTATGCTGAGTCCAAAAGAGGCAGGAAGCTTGTGTCCCAGGTGACTGGGCCGGTAGAAACCGGGCGTCCTTGGCCGAAGTATGGCAGGCTCTTGGCACATGAATGATACATGCCTGTGTGCGACCACAGGCTCCAAGCGGGTGGGTGACAGGGACCCCTCGCCTCTCAGACAGAGGAGCCTGGTCGGGACAGTCTGGCCCGGGCCCCCGCCCCTGTCCCTGGGTTCGTGGGGTTGGGGTCCGTCTGGGCTCAGGGCTCACGCGGCGCTCATCACCCGGGGTGCTGCGGGGGGGCGGGGAGAGCTGCCGCCTAGCCCAGCCCCGCGGATGACAGGAGCCGGGGAGCCGAGGAGGGAGGAGCCGCCGCCGCAGCCGAGCGCTGGGCTGAGGAGCAGAGAGAGCGGGGCGCGGAGTGCGGGCGGCTGGGAGCGCGCTGAGCGGGGGAGAGGCGCTGCCGCACGGCCGGCCACAGGACCACCTCCCCGGAGAATAGGGCCTCTTTATGGCATGTGGCTGGTAACTTTCCTCCTGCTCCTGGACTCTTTACACAAAGGTGAGACCTGCGCGGGCGGCGGGGCGGCGGAGGCGGCGGGGCCGGGGTGGCACGGCTGGCGGCGAGGCAGGGTGCCCGGCGGGCTCCAGGTGCCTGAGGGGACCGACCAGGGTGCACGGCCCCGAGTGGGGCTTAGCGGGGCGGGGCAGGCACCTTGACAAGGGCCGAGTGAGAGTCAGCTCCCGACCGCTCCGCCAGCCACCCGTGTCTGCCGTTTTGGGGCGCGCCCATAGGGGTGGTGGCGAAGGAGCCCCTCATCTCCCTGCTCCCCGCCGGCCGCAGTTCTGCCCTGGACCCCTCCCCCAGCCCCTTGCCCGCTTCCTGCGGCTCGGTGGCGCTGGGACCCCGGAGTGCCCTCCGAGTCGAGGGGTCCTCAGGCCGTGACTCTTGACCTGGGAGTCCTCGCTTGTTCGGCCTCGGACTCGGCGGCTGACTCCTCCGCTGTGTCCGTGCGCCCCTCGCCCGCTGCTGACCCCAGCCCTGTCGCGAATGTTGGCGCACTGCATGGCGCTTATCCGAGCATTGGCTGGAGGTAGGGTGGGGACAGTGGGGGTCCCGAGAGCTGGAGGTCCCTCAGATAGCAAGTTTGTTCTCCAAACCCAGAGGTTACCCTTGCCCGACCCCCCCACCCCACCCCTCTGTCCAGGTGCTAGCCCCGGCTACTGCTTCGGCTTCGCTGCGCCACCGTGGCCACCTCGGGCAGCGCGCCCCAAGGTGCGAGATTCTCAGCTTCCGCGCCTGGCCGGTTGAACCTGGGGACAAGACTTCAGGCTGGGGGGCGTGTCCCTCTTCCCGGAGAGAGGGTGTTGCTAGGGGTGGGTCCAGGTGTCCGGCGTGTCCAGACCTGCGGCTGGGGCGCTGCGTACCTGATCTGCGAGGTAGCCGGGACTGGGAGGTTGGAAGAGGGCAGACATTTCCGACCGAAGCCACCTAGGCACCGAGTCAGGACCAGGCAGCCGCAGGTAGTCGGGCTTCCAGGCTATCTCAGAGGACGTGCCCCCGGGCTAGCAGATGGCGGGAGATGAGACGGCCGAACTCCGCGCCCTTGCGCGGTGGAGCACACACGCTCCAACAAGCTCAGCGTTACCTGTTCATCCCTCTAACTTTTCTCCTTCGCGCCCCGGGGCGGCTTCTCTCTCCCTTTGCCCCGCTCTTGCCCTGGCCAGGCGGCAACTCTTGACCCCCAGGCGATGAGGAAGGGCACTCCAGCGGAGGGTTGGCGCCCGGGGAGGGGTCAAGCCCTGCGCTGGCGGTGCTCCAGGGGTCTGGAGTCTGCAGCCTGCGAGAGCCCACTGCGATACACCTTAGGTTGGGGAAAGGAGAATAACCCTTAGTTGTAGATACCGCCGGGTCACTCCTGGCGTTTACTGGGGGTGGTCGGGAAGCGGGACAAGGAAGGGGTGGCCTCAAAAATCGTGGACAAAGTAGCTGAGTTTCTCAGGCTCAGTGGGGTTCCCCCCCTAACCCCCGTAACACACCAAGGTTGGTCTCTGCTGTTTAACCCCTTGCCCCCCGCATCGCACTCCTTAATCCCACCTTAGCAGAGCAAGAAGCCTGCCTCCTGTTCAAGCCCCACCTCTGAACCCCAGTCCCCCTCTCCTCAGGTTCTTTCTGCCTCCCTCCGCCCCCGCAGGCTGGCTCGGCTCGCAGGTTTAATTACATTAATATTAAAAATACATAAGGTGAGGAGCGGCTTTCTCTCTTGATAGCTCTCTCTCCAACCCCCATCCCCTTTCCCAATTTGTCAGGCGAGAAAGCACAGGCAGGAGCCACTGCCACACTCTAGCCCAGCATTGTCCCCAATCCCCCCGCACCCCCCCCCCCGCACCCCCCGCACCCACCCCGTGCCCCCACAACACTCCCTGGAGACCTCTTCCAAGACGGCCCATTTCCCGGGAGTGCAGGAGGCCCCTCGACAAATACCTGAAGGACGCTCCCCTCCCCCTTCCAAGAGCCTGGCATTAATAAATAAATGAAGCCGAGCTATTTGATAGGGCGGGAGCAGATGGGGGTGGGGGTGGAGAAAGCCCCAGAAGGCAACAGGACAGCCAAGGGGCAAAATCCTATCCAACTAGAGAAGGAAGTTGCCAGTGGCCTTGTGCCTGTGGGCAGGCTGGAGGTGCCAGGTGTGGCGGCCCCTTGGTGGCCTTTGGATCTGCAGAGCCTGGTGTCCCTGCGATTCAGTGGCTCCAGCTTCTGTTGGGCGCCAGGGCGCCTCGCCAGACAGGCCTTTCTTTTTCTTAGTGCTTTAATTGGGTCTTAGGTGCCAGGCTAGTCCCCGGGGCCTGTTCTGCTTGGGGTGGCATGGTAGGGGGGTGGCAGAGGCGGCTTGGGGAAGATGTGATGCGGAGACGGAAAGAAGGATGAGGTTTGGTGTATTTTCTCTCCCGTTGCCAGTCACCCCCGCGGCACCAAGGAAAATGTAAATGTGAATGTTCGAGCCTGTTACAGAAAACAATATCCTCTTGCAATAATTTGTACGTCCATCTGTGAGGAGCGGGAGGAGGCAGGGAGAGAGAGAGAAGAAAACAGGATGAGATGGAGCATCCTCTGGATGGAATTAAGCAGTTATTGAATGTGTTTTAAGCTACTGTTATTTCCATTCCTCTCAAAATACCTTTTTTTTTTTTTTTTTTTTTTAATGAAGCCTGAGCTAATACCGATTCCCCAGAACTAAACTGGGAAGATGTTTTAATCATCGGTTATCGAGTCTCCAATAACTGCCTTATTATTGCCAAAACAAATGCAGGTTTAGGCAGCCGGATGAACCCCGGCGAGGCTCTCTCCGTTGTTCCATCCAGCGTGCCAGCATCTGTGTTGCCCGCATTTGCATTTTTACTGTGTAAAAGAACAAGCTTCCCCGGCACTAAAATTCCTGTTTTCTAAAAGCCAAAATAATGGATTGCATTGATTTTTTCATTTCCCACCCCAACTTCTCCAATGGGGACTCATGGTTCTTCTCTCTTGAGAAGACCAAATTAAAAGCCTTCATCAGGCCATTAGGAAAATCTCCCACATTCTGTTCGGTGTCTAATTTAAAAGAGGGAGGGCGACGGGGAAATGTGTTTTTAAAATCTTGAAATGGCAAACACAACTTAGGGGAGGCAGGCGAAGGGCCAGTGAATACGGAGGAGGGGGTGAGTGGCAGAGAGGCCCCGGTTGCTAGAATAACATGAAGGAGATTGGCATTGCCAGGATGCCCGGCAAGGCTTTCCGATGCTTCGTTTTTCTGGGCATCAGAGGCAGCTGCCTTTAATATATTTCTGCAGTAGAATGGGGAGCTCAATTAGAAACAAAAAGCAAGTAAGCAGTGGACCCAAAGGCAGTGCTTAAGTTGACCAGATCCCCGGGGACTAGCCGAAGAGGCTTAGTTTTCTTAGGGTAAGGATCGGAGAGGAGGTGGGCAAGCAGATAGGGGTTTGGCCCCGGTAGCAGGCCCCAAACAGACTGGCTGGGAGCCCCCAGACACAGGGCCAAGGTCTGCCCAAAGCATCCCATGGGCTGTTAGTCTATGACAGAGGGGTGCAGACCTGAAGACTTCCTGACCTTCTTAGAATTCCACCCTTTCGACTTGCTTGGTACCCTGCTCTGGCTGGTGAAGGATGATTTAATTGTAGATGAAGAGAGGGGAGGGCAGATGCTCAGAGAGCTTTTCTGCAGAGATAGGAGGCCCAGGCTGGGAGGTTTTTCCCTCTTCCATGATCTTGGGGGAGGGGTTTTCTGGGGAGACCTTTGAAGTAGTCAAGAGAAGATCCCCCAGTTCCTGAAGTGCTTTCTCGGCTCCCAGCCCCATCAATTCTAGCAGGTACTCAGGTGCCTGAATAGGGTGAGCTACAGACAGCAGCAATGGCAGGGTGCCAGGAACCAAGGGCACGCCCCAGATTTCCATATAATCTGCATATGTATTTGCATGCTCACCTCGCCAGGCCAAAAGCCGTGCCCTCTGTGAGCAGCATCTTGATCTCAGCCTCCATAGCAGCCAGGCAGTGGCTTCCCCTTTGCATGGAAGAGGGTGGGGCAGGAGCAGGGAGAAGAACTGGTGTTGGTAATGCTTCTGTCTCCTAGAGTTTGGCCTGTGGGGGCTCAGCACTGGCTTCGTCATCTGGCAAGGCAGCCCAAGAGCTCCTACCACCCATACCCAAGAGCAGACAGTGGCACTGGGAATATTGGGGTAGGATGGGTAGCAATGGGCCGAGACACCCTAAGGTAGACAAAACTTGGGGTGTGGGTTGCTCCTCTCATGCTGTAGGAAGAAGAGGGTGAAGAGAGGGGTGAACTAGCTATAGAAATTCAGGGCCCCCATTAGCTTCTTGGTGGGTGCACCCCTAGAATGCAGGAAGCTGGGTGCCTAGGGCTGCCATCAGCAGGTGGTGAGGAGGTGCCTGATGGGGTGGGGGTATGAAGTGAGGCGGAATGCTCTTTCACCCTCCTAGTTTGTCGACACCTAGCCTGGGAGGCAGTTGTGGCTCCAGAGAGATTAGAGGAATAGCACCGGCTTCTCATTCCACCTCCCTTAGGGCAGCTTCAGGTATGTGGGTTGGTTCTGGCGGGGCAGAGGGAGGACAGGCAGTGCAGTCACTGAGGAAGGGTGTGTCAAGAGCCTGGAGTGATGCTTGAGGAGTGAGTGCTTCGAGAGACCTGAGTGCCCCTCCCAGGGAGCCAGCAAGGATGCTGCAGTGGGAGTATGGCCTTGGGAATGGTTTTGGCTACATTTCTAGGGCCCTGAGAGGATACAACCATGGGCCTTCCCAGATATTTTTCTGCATATCTACAGAGCCAGGAGGGGCCTGGTCCACCGGAGCCCACAGAGGTTTCCCAAGGATGTGGTGTGGAGGTGTAAGGAGTGAGGTGGAGTCTCAGGGGATGGATGGAGGCAAAGAGAAGGAGGGTCAGAGGGCAGAGCTTCAAGCACCACTTGCTCCCTGCCCACTGCCGTTCTTTCAACTAGAGCTTTTATTCATTATCTAATTTCATATATTGGAATAGAATGAAAAATAAAA